CTGATGTTGAAGAATCAGCGGATGAGTATCTCATTTAAGTTGGGCTAGCCTCTTCCTGTGATTTACAATGTTGATTTTGAAATCTATATATTTTTGTGGTAATTGTGTTGAATATTGTCCAACAAATTGTTTGTCGACGACTGAAGAATATGAACTTTCTACATATGATCGCCATGAATTGAATTATAATCAAATTACTTTAGGTCGGTTACCGCGGTTCGAATCCAAGTAGCGGCATGTAACTTTCGAATTTCAATTCGTTTGAATAGATATTTGATTTTCTAAGAAAATCATGAATAGTTTATCGGTTTTGGCGTGGATGATCGTATTTGGACCCGATAATTTATTGGGCACTGTACGAAGTATTCTCTTCTAGGTCCGTCACAAGGAAAACGAAAACCAAGATTTGATCAATTTTGATTGATTTAAATCTGAACAAAAATGAAAGAAATTCCATTCTAACAAATATCGAAAAAATAAGAGAAGCAATTAGTACTAAATTGATTGAAACTAGAGTTCTTCTATTCTATTTTTATTTTTTAGAAAAAAAATAATTTCCTTTTGGTTGGCCCCAAGCAAACTATTCCTTTTTTCGACCCATTTTTCACATATTAGAAATAAAATAGAAAAAAAAAATTTCAGTATCGATTCTCATAGTACTGTTGGGGGAGTCGATAAGCTACTGTGGATGAGCTGCTTTTGCTAAAACCCTAGCGGTTTCTTGAAAACTCGCTTCAGATATAAAACATTTAGAAACTTTTTTTTAAAAAATGACTTATCTCTCCTTTTAATTTGTTTAAAATTCTAAGTTATATTTTTAAATATATTATTATTTTTTTTTACGTGTAAATGTTTATTATTTATTATCTAAGTGATTAATATTATTGATTTATCACTTTAATAAATGTTTATTATTTATTTTTTTTCCTTACGTGAAATAATCTATATTTGGTTATTAGATTTTTAAATTCAAATATTTATCTAATTGGAAAAAATCACAAGCAGATTTTTTGGGTACATTTCATTTTGCCTAAACTTTCATATAATCATATTCCTAATAAACTAATTAATATAATTACATTTATCTAATTGGAATTTTTAAAATTTAATTAATATAATATTTAACTAATTAATCTTTTGTCCAACCTCATTAACCTCATTAACAAACTTGCCAAAAGTTTTGAAATTAAAATAGTAAGATCATTCTTACGGGTATACTTACCAGAATATTAAACACTTTAAAAACTTTTTGAAAACAAATTTGAATTATTCTGTCTTTTACTCTATTTGAAATTCAAAATTAATTTGTAAATATATTCATAAACATTATTATTTATTTTTTTTCCTTATGTGATATAATCTAAATTTGGTTATTAGATTTTTAAATTCAAACATTTAAAGGAAAAGGTCACGAACAAATTTTTTAGTTACATTTCATTTTATCTTAACTTCTATATAATTACATTCTTAACAAACTAATTAGTATAATATTTTTTTATCCACATTTATATAATTGAATTTCTTAAAATATAATTAATATAATATTTTAACTAATTAATCATTTGTATAACTTGATTTATCTCATTAACAAACTTGCCGAATTATTTTGAAATTAAAAAAAATGGATGATTTTTATTTGTAAATAATTAAAAATAGCTTTACTTTAAAGTCTGGATTTTTTTTCATTATTTTTTTACATTAACAATCATATATTAGATAATTGATTTAAATAAAAAAAAATCAAAACTGTAAGGTTTAATAATATTCCTTAAATAAAAATTATTGTATAAAGAGAAGTGTTTAATAATATATATTTTTCATTGTTTGTATTTATTTTATTTCCATTATAGATGAGATGGGAAAAATATAAAGAATTATATTTAAAATAAAGTTTAAAAAAAGGTTTAAAATATCATGAGCTCCTCTGTGCATCGTACAGGATAAACACTATTACAATTAATACATCTAAAATGACCATAAATAAATCAACATATTTATGGTAATCCAAACCTAATTATTTTTGGATTGAAATTAAATTAAAATCTATTCAAGCCAAATAATGAAGTATGAAATTTTAACACCTAGGATCTCGAAGCATGTGAGTCTGCCACTTAGATTCAACAAATTCGAGAATTATATAGATGGGATGTTTAATGAGATTATGTTGGCCTTAATTGGTGGTTAGAAATTTTGGAAGTCTATGTTTGAATATCAACCGAAGACTTGCACAATTACTATTTGTATCTACTTTAGTCAACCATTGTAAGTAATATTTTAATGACTAAAATGTAAGTAAACGACCAGGAAGTTTCTTAATTAATGCACTCTAATTCTGACCAAGCTTCCACCTAAAATTCCAACATCCTATTATTAAGATATTTTTCGTGTTCATATTATAACGATCACGAGACAGTTCATTAGAATAATTAAATGTTTGTTACAGAGATTTAAGAAAACTAGTTTACATGCACAAATGTAAATAAAATTTTATAGATGATATGTGTATATATAATATGTAAAATTACAAATAAAATAATGAGCATATTACATTTTATAAATTTTATCATTTATAAAAATAAACAATGTAAATATAAAATATTTAACTTACATGTTAATTTTATTACTGATGGAATAATATAGTTTTTGTTGCTGATTATGACCAATTAATTAAAAATATTAAAATTGTTATTATAACAATTGTATACGGAATTTTAGAGATTTTGTTATGCCATAAAAATAACTAATAATTTTAATAAAAAAAATTCTTAATAAGCTTAAAAAGAAAGAAATAATAATTTTAAAGAAATATTAAAAAGAAATTTTACGATATAAAAATATTTAATTTTAATTTATAATTAGTTAGTAGTGACAATTATGTAATAAAAAAATAAAAATTATAATTACTTAATTTAATGCAAATGTAACGGAAAAATCGGGAACGAAAACAATTTTTATAATTTTTTTTCCAACAATTATATATGTATAGATATTATACTTTATTTATGTTATTTTTTAAAGTATGATATTTTTGTTTGAAAATAAGTATATATATTAAAAAAAATTATGATTATAACCATTACGTATTGAGCTTGAATTAATATGGTGGAAATTAATTACTATTACTCATTGCAATTGAACAAAATTGAGTTGTTTTATTTCGTTATATCATTATAGAAAATGAAAAGAGAGAATTATTGACTATGCTTTAAATGCTGGAAGCAAATATTTAATAATAATAATAATAACAATAATAATAATAATAATAATAGCAACAACATAACTAGTTTATGGAAAGTTAGGTGTCACGTATATATAATCAATTAGCTAAAATTGATGACGTAAAATTTATGAGGTTTTATTTAATTGATTGCTAGCAATTATATAGATATAGATTATTAATATTTATCTATTCTAATTTATCTCCCCTTATTTCATTACAAGAAACTCTGCAAAACTTACATTGTAGTCTGTATAACCCTATGATCCAACAAATATTCTAAAACATTGGCTCAAATTACTTAGCGATAGCAAATCAAATTATCTAGGTTTAGTTAGTAGTTTTAATTAGTTGATTATGATATATATTTGGTAAATAACTAGTTGTTTGATATGTAAAAACAGCTCACTTTACAATCCCCTACTCCCAATCATAAATTGATTTTCTTTTTTGTTTTGTTTCGAAATTAATATTTTTGTTCCAAAAAAATTATTTCAAATCACTATTTACCAAATAATTAAATTAGAAATTTTGAGGGGTCTAACCTTCTAATTCACCATAAACCTCTAATTCAACCTCAAAAGGTTGTTTACCAAACAAAATATGTAGGAAGCATTTATTATAATATTTTATGAAAAATTGAAGAACATGAGATTTGGTTTTATTTAAGTTTCACAAGTGGTTCACAAAAATATATTGGAAAAAGTTGCCCAAATAAGAAAAACATGCATNTGATATTGAAAAACTCTTAAAATGTATTTACTAACAAGTTTGAATTTACGAAAATCAAATTGTCATCAAATAACCTACATATAGCACAATCGACACTTTTTATGAATAGCTTATGGAAATCCAAACGTCAAACTTATATAATGTGTAACTTTTAAAAAATTGATCTTGCAAGCTTTCAAATGATATCATCAATCGACAATCAATTTTCTAGATTGGCATAGCCAATTGTGGAAAAACACATACAAATGTTTGAATACATAATCGTCGATTGCCTTCTTCAATTTAGATTGTCGTAATTTATTGTAAAAAAAAAATAAAATAAAAAAATGTCTAAAACACACGAATTCCTACCTCCTTCAATGCGCTACATCATCGAATCCAATTATGAAAACAAAGACGCAATGTTCAAACAAGTACTCGTCGACCACCTTCTTAGTACGTCACTAATGAGTCAATCATTAGAAATTAATAAATTACACCTCATCCCGCTCTCTTTTTTTGTGGGTTCCAAAAGACGTCATTCAATTCTCGAAGCCAATGTGGGAAAAACAAAAACGATATATATTTAGACAGATGAGCGCACTACCTACCTTTTTTTCGACATTCTAGATTGTCAGAGATAATTAAAAATAAAAATAACAAACAAAATGTTTAAGAGGTACGTGCCGCCTACTTTTCTTGATGTCCTAGATCGTTGAGTACTAGTTATTGAAAAAAAGAACACCAACGAATTGTTTAAACAAGTACGCGTCGTCTACTTTCTCTATATATAATTGAAAAATTAATTATTCAAAACCCGTCAATAAATTTCGCTATCGATTTCACATATATAATTTATTAAATTTATAATAACTTTAAATTTGATTTAGGGGTTTTCACTCTACTTCACTATTCAACTCACCATTTGCCCATTTTTCTATGAAACATTGTCCAATTTTGACCTACCGTAAATGGCGTCTGAAACTGAGACACTCACCCACAGTCAACCTTCGTGTGGTCACTAGAAAAATGGTGAAAAGGCACAAAAGAGCCGAAACTTCTGAATATCACACACACAGTGACCCCACACAAACTGAATCCCAGACACGTTCTCCTCAATTCCACGCCTTTGTACAAACCGAAGGAATAGCATCACCTAGAACACAACTACCATGATTATGATATGAACCCGAAGACTTTTTGGGCTCCCCCAAATTATTTCCCCCTTTTTTTTTTTCAATTAATTTAATTAAAAATTAATATTTTGTGACGCTGATTCTGTGATGATAATCGGGTCGTCGTCTTCCTCCTCTACCTGTATTTGACTTGGCTTATTACTCGGCAGGTACAACTCCCTTTATTCTCCTCCCCCTTATAATTCTTTTTTCACACGCATTTGCACACATACATACGCGCACGCAAGTACATAAGAGCTAAGGGGGCGTGTATTCCAGTTGAGGGGGTTTTTTTCGTTTTTGATCATAAAAATTCGGTCTTTACTGTTTTGATTCAATTAAGGATGTGTTGGTTTAAGAAATCAGTTGTTGAGGTTGTTTTGTTGCTGATTGTGGTTGGGTGCTGGGTTAACGTTGATGTCTGCGAAGCCTTTGGGACGTTCGGGTTCGACATCCACCATAGGTATTCGGACAAGGTGAAGGAGTTCTTGGACGTCGATGGGTTGCCGGAGAAAGGCAGCCTCGGCTACTACGCCGCCATGGCCCACCGTGACCAGCTCTTCAAGGCCCGCCGGCTGACCACCGCCAACTCAACCTCCATCCTCACTTTCTACGGCGGCAACCAGACTTTCCGCATCGCTTCTCTTGGATTGTGCGTTTTCTATTTTCCTCGCTCTGTATCTCATTTTGTTTATTGGGATTTATTTATTTATTTTTTCGGTAGATTTTGTTGTGAATAATATTAGTTTCGAATTTTATGTGGTTTTACTTGATTGAAAAAAGTGATTCTCAGCTAAAGCTGGAAATGAATTTTATGTTGTTTTTTTACTTAACTTTTTTTTTTTGTTTAATTGAAAAGGCATTTGTTAGCACCTTTTAGTTTACTGTTGAAGAGACGGATAGTTACATGACTTTCAATTGTGTGTCTTCTGGTGAAGTCTTCTACTATATATATAATATGAGTGTTTATAGCGTCGAATATTGTTCAATATGGTAATTATTTTCTCCATAAGTTCATGTAGACAGAAAAAGCAAGGTTTTAGAAAGCTTGATGCTTAATGACGTGAGAAACGTGAAGCATCGAGCATCACAAGCTTCAATGAATGCTTAACTTCTGTTTCGATCAGTAAAGATTAGTATGAACTTTGTGGCATAACACTAAATGAAAAATGGCCTTTTTTTGTCTTTCTTTAGAGTTGTTAAAATGGTCTACTTAATATCTCAAAGAANAAAAAAAAAAAAAAAAAATTCGGCAACTTAGAGTCATGGTTTACTGAGGGTTGTTCGAATTCCGGCAGTGCTTAACGGAGATTTCTTTTGAGTAGCTTTAATCCTTTCTTGTAACTTTTACTCCTACAGAGTTGGATTATTTAGTTCTTTATTTTAGGTTAAATAGAGGTTATGACCTACCTTTTGAAAGAACGAACTAAATAAAGTCATGTGACTTCCAAAATTTTCAAAAAGTAAGCACCGCTGGCATTCGAAAGAAGTCAAAAAGGCTGATGGATTTGGAATAAAGTCGATGCAACCGGTGAAATTAGAATGTGTGCACACACTATACGCAAGTGTTCGTGAAAAATCGAAATCATAATCCCATATTGAATGATATTTCAAACAGTAACAAGAAAAGTTATCTAAAAGAATTTTGGTATTATTATATTCATCTACGTGGCAAATCAATTGCAAACGACTCTATACTTTCTAATACATTAAAATTTCCTCGAAAGGTTGCATTTGCAGATCATAACTTTTATGTTCATATAGCAACGAAAGTCACTCAGAGTTATTTCTTTTCCAATGCCTTTATTCTAGAAAAAAAATTATCATTTTTTTTTTTGGGTATTTGCAGCTTGCATTATGCAGTTGTTGCTGTGGGTACCCCACCCTTAGCATATCTTGTGGCACTCGACACGGGCAGTGATCTATTTTGGTTACCCTGTGACTGCACAAACTGCGCGCGTAGCTTGAACTCATCGAATTCAAGGACGGTNGTGGCGTTTTATTTACTACCAACAATTTTTATTTTCTAATTAAAGAATTTTTGAATGGGAACAGGGATTAGATTTAAACATTTACAGCCCAAGCAATTCTTCAAGTAGCAACCCTGTTCCATGCAATAGCACAATTTGTGAAAGGAGAAGGAGAAGAGGATGTTCAACGAGCCGAAATGCGTGTTCTTACCAAGAAATATACCTCTCAAACAACACCTCAACAGCAGGGATATTGGTGGATGATGTTTTGCATTTGGGCACCGATTCTTCTCAACAAAACATTGTTGAAGCTCCTATTACGTTAGGGTGAGTTGCTACTTTTTTGGTTTTTTCTCTTGAGAGAAACTCATTTTGTTGAATTTTTGCAATAATTAGGAAGACAGCTTTTAGACGTACTCAAAGCCGTTCTAGGATTGTAGGAACGTGTTTGGCGAGAAATACTTTTGCAATGTGGGATATAATAACTCAAAATCAAGTCAAAATGGCCAAAACGAACCTGTCTTTTATAAAAAAGGCTAGAAGTATTTTTTTTTTCTAGAAAGATTAATGGCCAAAATTGCTATCATATAATTATTTAGGAATTATTCTGGGGGATTTTTGTTTCTTGTTGCCCTCATTAATTTTTTTTAATACAATTCATGTATGCTTTTCTTAAAACTTAGTTTAAGCTAGTCAAAATGGCGAAAACGAACCTGTCTCTTAAAAGAAAGGCTAAAAGTATTTTTTCTGGAAAGATTAATGGCCAAAAATGCTGTCATATATTATGGGGAAATTCGTATTTCTTGTTGCCCTCATTAAATTTTTGTAAATATAAATCATCTGCAACGCGTATGCTTTTCTCATTTCAGGTGTGGAATACTCAAACAGGTGATTTCTTGGAAAGATTAATGGCCAAAGTTGCTGTCATATAAAATTTTAGAAATTATTTTGGGGAAATTCATATTTCTTATTGCCCTCATTAATTTTTTTTAAACGTAATTCATCTGCAACTTGTATGCTCTTTTCTCATTTCAGGTGTGGAACAACTCAAACAGGTGATTTCTTGGATGGTGCTGCTGTTAATGGTCTGTTTGGACTTGGTATGGACAGTATATCTGTCCCGAGCATCTTAGCCAGTCGAGGACTCACAGCAAATTCTTTCTCAATGTGTTTCGGGTCCGATGGAATAGGAAGGATTAATTTCGGGGACAAAGGGAGTCCAGACCAGAGAGTAACTTCATTTAATCTTGGACAACAAAAGTAAAGAACCATTTTTTTTTGGTTATAAAATGTTTATCCTTATTTTCTCATAATTCAATGTTTGATCTTTTCCGGGTTTTTTGTGGCAGCCCGACTTATAATATAACCGTGACACAAATAGCCGTGGAGAATAATGTCACGGATCTTGAATTCACAGCTGTCTTTGACTCGGGAACCTCGTTTACGTACTTGAACAACCCAGCTTACTCTGTTATTGCAGAAAGTGTAAGTTATAAATCATATTACCATTGTTGATCTCGAACATGTAATGAATAATTTCATAAACTTTCGAGCCGTCTCAGTTATTATATCATAAGATACAATTTCAAGTAGATATGTTTGAAATAACAATGTTCAATATGAATCTTAAAAAATAGGAGATTATATCATAAGATACAATTTCAATTTCAAGTAGATATGTTTGTAGTAGCAATGTTCAAGATGAATCTTAAAGAATAGGAGATTATATCATAAGATACAATTTCAATTTCAAGTAGATATGTTTGAAATAACAATGTTCAATATGAATCTTAAGGAATAGGAGATTATATTATAAAATACAATTTTATGTAATTATGTTTGAAATAATAATATTGTGGAATTCGTTCATTGTTTGCAGTTTAGTTCTCAAGTAACCGAGCCTCGTTATCAACCTACGAGCGACATTATCTTTGACTATTGCTATTCGCTCAGGTCGGTTTTATTTGGCAACAGATCTAAATATGGTGTCTCGATCATGCATTGAAATTGCCTTGTTTTTTTTAAAAAAAAAATTCCGTGCAGTTCAGCACAAGGAAGCTACAACATTCCGAGCTTGAACTTGACAATGAGAGGTGGAAGCCAATTTTCTGCTCTTGCACCAACTGTTGTAATTCCCCGCCAGGTGAGACAAATTTCATTAAGATCCATTCGCGAAAATCCCATCTGAAAAATGGGCTAAGAAAAAGAAAATACGGTTAATTTGCAGGGAGGGTATGCATATTGTTTGGCTATCGTCAGAAGTGAGGATATTAACATCATTGGACGTGAGTATCAATATCATGAAAATATTTCCTTGCTCTTATNCCGTATGGTCTTTGATCGTGAGGAGATGGTATTGGGTTGGATAGAATCCGACTGTAAGTTGCAATTTCATATATATTTATGTTTCTTTCCAATCCGGTTTTGCATTAGATTCGTGCAGACCATACCACCTTTGGAGCTATTTCCTTAAAAAAAAAAGGGTCTCGTACACATTTTATCGCAAAACAATACTATTCAAGCAACATTTCATATAGCAAAATTGTTTTTTTAGTTCAGCTGGTTTAATGCCCTAGCAATTTTTGTTCCAAATTATCCACATTTCACTTTTGTCCCGTGATTTAAAATTTTGCTGCAATTTCAGTCGTCAAGAAATTGCAACAAATTCCAAAATTCCCGAATTTTCGATTAGCAATAATATAAAATTTTGTTGCAGTTTCAGTCCTCAAATGACTAAAATTGCTATGACGTTAAACCAACATGACTAAAAAAACATTTTTGCCTTTCATATATCTAACGTGAAAATCTACTTCTCAAAGATGAGTTGAAGAACATATCACTGTTTCGGAAATTACATGGTTCGACTTTAAAAGTACGAATGCTTGCTTGAAAATGTACAAATGACCGTCGCATGTAAAATTTACGTTAGACCGTTATAGACCGTCTTACGATATACTTACTTTTTCCATCACGATGCAACTAATCGGGATAAATGTTTCGTTTTTCTCCTAGGCTACGATTCAGTCTCATCTAACACTCTACCCGTAAACAATACCAATAACTCGACTATTGCCCCTTCGCCTTCGGCCTTGGAACCTGAAGCTACGCCTGCAAACAGAAGCCAATCGCCTGTCCCGAGCATTTCACGGCCAGCTCAGCCTCTGCCGCCACCATCACCGCCTGCCACATCACTTTCCGGTGGTGGTGCCGCCCGTTTGAATGGTTTGGTGAAAATCGTACTTTCGATTTGTCTCTGCAGCTTCATTTTTCTCTGTTTATGATTTTTTTCTTTTTAACATTAACTTGTGCCTGAATTGAGTCATCAGTTGAAAAATTAATTAACAAAGGCTTTGTTATTACTTTATTGTTTTGATTTTTGATATCTTTTTTCTAGTTTATATTTGTTCAATATACATACATAGATGGTCTGAAATATACATATATATATATGTACATGTGCATATGATTGAACTTGAATGTTTTAGTAGAGCACCCTTTGTATTGAGGATGTTGATATAGTAGCATTTTGGAGCCTCTTTGTACCTAAACATTGTTTGTTATAGAGTTAAAATTGTTCTTATAAATATATTATCTTAATTCGAATAATTATATTAAGATACTGAAATTAAAAGTCATATAGAAATGATTTACTCGTTATTCTTTTCGCAAGTAATTATGATATAGAATAGTACTGTCTTTATTAGGTCCTGTTTTTCTTCTTTGGCTTTCAATTAAAAGTTGAAAAGAATAGTACTGTCTTTATTGTTTACTTTTATAGCTAACTTATGTGCACAAGACTTGATGGTTAAGTTATAATAAAATGTACACCTTTTAGATAAAACGAAAACACTTAGCACTTAAGATAACGAGTTTCAAACAATATACTTCTCCTAGGCAAGACGATCAGTCATGTTATAATTATTTTTTCTTATAGAAAATGTATATTACATTATAAATTATGAAATGATATACTTTATTTTTTAAAATATAACAAATTATTATAAAAAGCATGCATATTTATAACATGACGCGTCAGCCTTATATATGAAAATTTTCTCTCTTTATCATGGCATATTTATAACAAATAATGTTCTTTTAACATACTAATATCATTCTTCTAGATTTTTTAGTAACTTTTTTTGAAATAATATTATTTAACTTCTTGGTAGAAACGAACTTCAAATTAGTCATCTAACACATTGTGGGACTTTAATGATATAAACCAATTCATTTTAGAGTGCACCCCTTCATGCGATTCACCTTTTAAAATGCTTTATGAAACCTTTTTTTTTTTAGTTGGCACATAACATCGCATCAAATGCCTTTATGCAAATAAACCAACATATTTTTTTTTTTCTTTAAGCATAAAAAATTAAATATAGAAACAGCTGTTTCCTGTCAAAGTAAAACGCAGGAAATGCAATTTAAGACTAAGAAGTCAAAAAAGAAAGAAAAATGGGATTTTTCAGAACCTTTACATTTGACAAATTAATTTATTTATTTAGGCATATGTTGTTAAAGGAACAAGCCGTTAGTAAGCTCAATTTTTTTCAATCTCGTTTAGTTAGTCAAACAAAAAAAAAGAAAAAAAGATCTTTTCAAGGTCTTTACATTTGATTAATTTATCTAATTAAGTGATGTATTCATCCGTAATTCTTAAAAACTTTGGAATTTTAAGAATTATAGTCGTAAAACTCGACAGAGGTATTCATTTTATTTATTACAAGAGTTTGTCTGAATTTCTTAATACATATTGAGATTTTCAAACCGAAAAACATGAAATTTCCACGCCAAATCCCATCACTTGACATAATATTTCCAAGAATTCATTTTATTTTAAGTCCTAAAAGTCTTAAAATTTAAAAATTCATATCACCAAAATTTCAGACAATACTAACATGTTAAACAAAATGAGCTCAGTTCATTTATCGAGATTAGTTACTCGATTCGACTCCTTAAAATTCAAGTATTTAAACTTTTAATAATTTTTTATAACTAAATTTGTTAAAATTTTAATTTAACTTATTAATATTAATAAACGATTGAAATTCGTCAAAATTTAAATTTAACTTATTAATATTAATGAACAATGTAAAGTGCAAACTCGCTAATAAATTATTATACTATATATTTCCTTTTACTCTTTGTTAGTCATCTCCATTGAATATCTAACACGTATATAAGGGTGGCCTCGCAGTGCCTGAAGATACACATATATACCTGTTGTGACGGTTTCTAGAGAAGTCGTCAAAAAATGGCGGTGGAGAGTTTCGGTGACATACACGCGCTTCCGGAGGACTGCATAGCCAACGCCCTATCGCTCACGAGCCCTAAGGACGCCTGCCGGCTGTCGGCGGTCGCCTCCACGTTCCGCTCCGCCTCCCAATCCGACGTCGTTTGGGGTCGGTTCCTGCCGTCCGATTATCGTGATCTGATAGCCGGTGCCGTCGACGGCCCTGATGCCCTGCTTTCTAAATTCCGTTCTAAAAAGGACCTGTATCTGCACCTGTGTGATAATCCGATTCTCATCGATGGCGGCCGCAAGGTCGGTTTATTTCCTTTTTTTGGCTGTTTTTAGGATGAAATCGATTGGTATTCATACGATTCTAAGTTCTGATGTGTGCTATATAAATTGTTACATGTGGGCATTTTTTGAAAAAATAAAAATGAAATTGGTCCTGATTTAGCATGGCTGATCAAGTTTGGATTTGTGCCTGATACTATGAGTGTATATGTTTTCCGATCCTTTTGACGTCTCCTGGTTTCTTATTAGTATTCCGTTGAGTCGATTGGCACGTTTAGTTGATATCTTAATTTTCATTTTACATGTTTGTGAAGATTGAAGCATAGATGGTTTTTGTTTGTTTGGACTAAAAAGTATTTCAGAGAATGTGGTGTTGGAGTACCTAAGAACCATTGTTGTGTTGCCAAGATTGTGGATTAAATTTTGGTGTTACCTTCGTAGATTGGATCGAGTTAGTTGTGATTGGGCTGACAGATATAAAGCCAAGAAAATGATGGAGATAACACTGTGTGATGATTGACCCTTCTCTTGATAAATGTTGAAATGGAATATTGTGTAACATAGCAGAAAGGCAATTGCCTTATGACATTGGCAGCTCACAAGTTGTCATTTTTATGGTGATTTCTGTTGTAATCTATGTGTCTGCTCATAAGTTGTCATTTTTATTTTGATTTCTGTTGGAACCTAAATTTATTATCGTCTTTGTTTTCCTTTCTATCCTTTCACCAGTGTTGCTGGGAATGGTAAACGTGTAGATTGATCAGTCTCGATTGAGTTATTTGTAGCATCATGTCATTCCAGGGTTCTGAATTTTTTGCCTGGAGAAGGTATTTATTATCACGGTCTGTCTGATCATTTTCTTTGACATTGTCTAATGTTGAACAGAGCTTTTCATTAGAGAAACACAGTGGAAAGAAATGCTACATGATAGCAGCAAGAGATCTCTACATTGTTTGGAGCGATACTCCTCAATATTGGCAATGGGTCTATCTTCCCGAGTCTAGGTAATTTGAGCCTCCCTCTATTCTTGGTTATTCATTTCGCTGCACGATAAACATAAGAACACTTAAGTTTAAACTAAACTCTCATTTTTCAAACCGGGTTTCTTATATGTGCTAACTCAGTCCATTTGCTTCAGGTTCCCTGAGGTGGCAGAGCTTATTGACGTGTGCTGGTTCGAAATACAAGGCAAAATCAGTACCAAGATGCTTTCGCCCGGCACATCCTACGTGGCGTACCTAGTGTTCACCCTCAAATCGAGCGCTCATGGATTCGAAAACCACCCGGCCGAGGCTTTTGTTGGGTTGACCGGTCAAGCGAGTCAAAGGTGCAGAGTGTTTATAGATCCAGACGGGGCCCACAGGGAGAGGCGCCAAATCGTGCCCCGAAACCTTGGGTCGGCTTATCGTAGGCTGCCTCGTTTGGTGAGAGAACAGATGGTGGAGAGTGCATCTGCCGAGACTGTTGATACGAAGCGCCCAAAAACGAGGGGTGATGGGTGGATGGAAGTTGAGTTGGGAGAGTATTTTGTCGAGGGAGGAGAAGGTGGTGATTTGGAGTTTGGTGTGATGGAGGTGAAGCACGGTAACTGGAAAAAGGGCTTCGTCTTTCAGGGGATTGAGGTCAGGCCGAAAGGCGTGTAAGTAGTTAAAAGTTCGGGTTGAATTTTAGTTAAAGATGGTGGTGATCTTGGTTTTTATTCATGTTGATAGTTACAGTTTTCGAATCATCTGTTGCTGTACCTCTGGTTTTTGGGATGATGATGTTTTTCGCTGCCTATGTGTTTTCCGTCTTTAACATATTTTCATGTTGAGCTTCACGGCTTGTAATGTGTACCTCCATTTTAGTAGTTCAAGTTTTTTTTTTTAGTGGTAACAATTACTAGTTCAAGTTTCTTGATCTATATGTGCTTGTGGTCTTTTTACTTGGGAAAAGAAAATGAAGACATGCTTGTGGTCTTTTTACGACAAGTAATTTTTGCTGCTAACGCAAGAAATTGTGTGAAGAGAGGGAATGAAATCTTAACTAAGAGAAGGGAAAAATAACTAAAATTTGGTTTTGAAAACTTTCATTTCAGCTGGGGAATAAGAGTAGAGGTACAAAATGCAAGTAGTTATGTTTGGCAACATCATCATGTTTCGTGTTTGGATCATTTTGTCTAGAAAAAGCTTGATGTTTTAGTTACTTTTGTTGTTTTGTGGTGCTTAGTGGCGGATCTACATAAGGGTTCCTCTAGAATTTTTTAGTAATACATAATATATAGGAAGATTCGATGCGAGGCAGTGCTCCCACATTCTTTTTCACCTTTGATTTGCACACATTCACATACATCCATGTGGGTGTGTGTGAAATCAAAGGTGAAAAAGCATGTAGGGACATTCAAAGGTGAAAAAGCATGTGCAGCATCGAATTTATCTAGTATATATCAGTGTCCCCACATGCAGCATCGAATTTATCTAGTATATATATGTTATATGTATAAATATATTATTATATTGACATAAAAAAATATATATTATTAATTATTATGCAAAATTATTTCAATATAAAAAAAAAATGTTTAGAATTATTTAATCTTCAATAGTATGTTGGTTTTTAAGTTGTGCAATTTATGCTTATGTTATACTGAACTTCTTGTTTATTTCCTTTTCCCTAAAAAAATACATAAAAAACAAACATTATCCATAAATGTATATATACTACATAGGGATTTGATCAAATGTGTCCTTATTCTTAAAATGAGAATGTGAGACTAAACTATAGTTATTAAATAAGAAACAAGGTGTCTGGTCAAGATTTAATCTCAAAATTTCAGGTCACTTGGACGATCCGATCATTAAATACTACCTCCTATTTTTTTTAAATGTCATTTTGGCTTTATCAACAATTAACCAAATAAATGACGTTTTGGATCTTTTGTACATGTTTTTTCATTATTACCGTCATCTGCTAATAAATACACTACGTCTTTTCATATTCACACTTCATCTTTTCTCAAAACATCGATCTTTATCCTCATTAATCTATATATATATAATTACTAGCTAATAGAATTTAATAAAACCTATTTAATTTTACCTATGTGGCAATTTAACAATTTTCCCTCCAAAAACCATTACATTTTGATGTATTTAATCTTTCATTTAATCATTAAATAATTAATACTCATCACTTCAAAATTACAAAAATTATTTTAAACTTTTGATTAATGACAGTTGACCATATAATGTGTTGACCGTATAATGTGATTAGATGTTATTATTGTTGTTACATTTAATTTTTTTTTTTTTTGAAAATAAAAAATATATTTAAAATTTCTAAATAAATAATAAATAATTCACAAATAAAGACGTACCAAAATGTACATTACATCCAATCAGATAAACGCAATTTAAAAAAAAATTCCAACTCTTTTAATTGTAAATTTGGTCTGCAAAAAAGTGAAGAAAAATAATTAATCATTATATGTACAGACTCACAATAATTTATTTATATCTGTGCAAATGCACAGGTCGAATACTAGTGAGGGTTATTATTGACATAAAAAGATTCTTAATTACTGTGCAACTTCTCAAAACGACACTTATTAAAAATAGGAAGGAGTATAATTTTTCAAAGATCAAATCAATAAGCTAGGGATCTGAGTTAAGGGCTAAAATTTGAACACAATACTTATCAATATAACAGAGATTGACCCTCTAAGTTTCAGATCAAATGGACGAGTACACGATTTATCATGATTTTTTAAAGTTTCTGATGGCACAATGGCTTCAAAAGTCCAAATAGGCAATAAAACTCAACAAGATCGACCAAGGCCTTTCACATCAGACCAAAGATGACCAAAAGTTCCGTTTTTCCACAAGAGTTCACATGAACAGGCAAGATCCATCACTTTATCAAGCAAAATGAATAGATCACATAAATAACCTAGATCCAATCCAAAACTCAAAAGGTCTATTCATATCAATCAATAACACTTAAAAATGAGGGGGTTCAGCCATAAATTACCAGCACCAAGGAATCTACACGTTGGTTGGCCGAAAGAAGGGTTGCAAAGACTTGGACGGCGTGAAGCGCGCGGCCTCGGCTTGTGGGCGTGCAAGCGGGCGCCTGGCTTGATCACGATACCTCGGGGTGTCGTACCCCCGACGAGTGCTTGCGTAGTACCATTTAGGCCTTATGCCTCTTTCATTGTACAAAAAAAAAAAAAGTTGATGTATGTGTAAAAATTATTGGTTTATATTATTTAATTATATTGATAATATCGCTATAGTGAGGTTGAGTTAAAAAAAAAAGTTAAAATGTTTGAATTTTTTTAACAAATTTTATATCAAAGCATCCTCTAATAAATTGTTAGATGGGATTGTGATTTACAGTGTGGAAATGTTGCAAAAGGGATTCAAATATTGTGGGCTGGTAAATTCATCTACGTTTTCCCTCTACTTTTAAGTTTTAATCAATCAACTAGGCCCCACAATTATTATTACTCTACTATTTTTTCTTTCATTACTTTTCAAACAATAAAATCAATTCATTTTAGAATGCATTCACCTTTAAATGCTTTACGAAACCTCCTTTAATAGTATCCTGCCTTTTTTTAGTTGGCACATAACATCGCATCAAACATATTATATTAAGCAGAAAAAAGTTAAATCTAGAAACAGTTGTTTCCGTCAAATAGAAAATGCAATTATATACTTATATTAAAAAGTATACCATTTACCAAATTTAATATAAAAAAAGTCAACAATATTTATTGCATTACTATTTTCGTATTATACAATCTAGAAAAGTCAACTGCATTAAATGTCATACTATTTTGGTACTATAATATTTTATTTATTTAATTAATTTATTTATTTGTTTTATTTTAAAAAGGTAAGTATAATAAAAAGATTTTAATAATAAAAAAATCAAATACGAAATAAAAATATACAGTTTGACTTATTTGATTATATTTGGTATTTGATTATACCAAATATATTCCTATTTAGTATATACATTAAATACTTACTAAAGTATTTATTTGTTTATTTGTCAAAGTTAAGTATAGATTTGTTTATATTATCAAATCATAAAAAAATATTAAATCCATATTGTAAAAAGAAAAAATCATATAATTTTATAACAATTCTACTACACTATTTAACAATATTTTTTTTTATTATATAATAAAATAATAGTTAAATATTATATGGTAAATAACAATAAGTAAAAATGTTACTTTCTCTTATATCAAGGGATAAATTTATATGCTAAAATTAAATTTTTATTAGTATAAATATTTTAGTGAGATAATATATTAATTATTTTACAAGCTAGCCTTAACATGCTCATATTTAATATTTTAAAAGATGAAGAAAAAAAACTTATAATAACTCTATTGATTTTTAGACTTAAACTTTGATTAAAAGAGGTAAAAATTCTAATTTTTTAGACTTAAACGTTGATTAACACCATAGATTGAGAGTTTATATTCAATAAAATTCCTAATTGTAATAAAAAAATTAATTTTTGCTATATTTTAGAATATCTTTAAATTCATTATAAAAAACGAAAAAAAACTACAATGAAAAAAGCAAGTCAGCTACATATCGATTTGTTGTACTCCTCAAATCACATTTATAATTTGGCTACAAGGAAAGGAAACTCATTGATTAAATATTATTTTGTCAGTAGTCTTAATGTACAAGAGACTTTAAGACTCCACTTGAATATTATAAACCTTTATTGAACATGGTACAATTTTCTTGCGTATTATAAACTTTTATTGAAGCATCTTATAATATAAGTTTCTCCAAATAAATATATCTCGTGTTTCGCACGGGTCACGTACTATATATATTCCGTATATTTTTCTTTGTTCATGTATATAATTATAAGCCTGAATAAATAGACTTAAAATTGTGCACCCGAGAATCGCACGGGCTCTTTACTAGTGAAGACTAATAAGNAAAAGAATTTTCAGGACCTTTATACGTTTCAGGACCAACTCATTAATAAATATACATATTTCCTTTTCTCTTTGATAATGTATTTTCGTTGAATATCACTGTCACACATGTACAAAATACATGCAAAGGATACATACAATAATATATAAAGGGTGGCCCCCTTCTTTGTACCCAAAAAAAAGGTGGCCTCGCAGTGTGTGAACTTCACTGCTAGCTCGTTTCCTAGAGAAGCTTTCTTGAGAAGGTTGTGAAAAAATGTCGTTTGAGAGTTTCGGTGACATTCACGCGCTTCCGGAGGGCTGCATAGCCAACGTCCTCTCGCTCACGAGCCCTAAGGACGCCTGCCGGCTGTCAGCCGTCGCCTCCACGTTCGGCTCCGCCTCCCAATCCGACGTCGTTTGGTGTCGGTTCCTGCCGTCCAATTATTGCGATCTGATACCCGGCGCCGTCGACGACCCCGATGCCCTGCTTTCTCAATTCCGTTCTAAAAAGGACCTGTATCTGTACCTGTGTGATAATCCGATTCTCATCGATGGCGGCCGCAAGGTCGGTTTATTTCCTTTTTTTGGCTGTTTTTAGGATGAAATCGATTGGTATTCATACGATTCTAAGTTCTGATGTGTGCTATATAAATTGTTACATGTGGGCATTTTTTGAAAAAATAAAAATGAAATTGGTCCTGATTTAGCATGGCTGATCAAGTTTGAATTTATACCTGATACTATGAGTGTATATGTTTTCCTATCCTTTTGACTGTCTGCTGGTTTCTTATTAGTTTTCGATTCGCACGTTTGTTTGTTTGTGGGTGTCCGGACTCCCGATTATGCTGGTATTAGTGTTTCCTTCTTAGATTGCATTGAGTTACTTGTGATTAGACTGACAGATTGAAAGCCAATAAAATATCACTGTGTGATGAGGATTGACCCTTCTCTTGATAAATGTTGAAATGGAATATTGTGTAACATAGCAGAAATGCATAATTGCCTGACATTTGCAGCTCACAAGTAAGTTGTCATTTTTATACAGATTTCTGTTGGAATCTAGGTATCAGCTCACATGTTTTCATTTTTCCCGAGTCTAGGTAACTTGAGCCTCCCTCTATTTCTTGGTTGTTACAACTTACAAATCAGCTCCCCTTGCAGCTTTGTGTTAATCAGTCGTGGTCTTGTCACTCATTTCGCTGCACGATAAACATAACAACACTCTCAGTTTGAACTAAACACTCATTTTTCGAACCGGGTTTCTTGTTGGGAAAATGTTGGACCGGGTTTCCTCCAATATCGGTACAATTACAATGCTTTGAGTTCATTCAAAAAAAATATACAGGTCATGTAAGAATTAGACCCAATAAAATTATATATACTGGACTTGCCGCTGATGTGGCAGCATGAAAAAGAGAGTGGGTATACCTTTAAGTCTATTTTAGACCTAAGAGACCTGTTAATTTTGTTACTTTTATATATTTTTGTCCATGTCATCTAAAGACTTAGGTCTACTTACATGTCACGGAAGCAAAATTAGATTATGCTCTAACTCAGTCCATTTGCTTCAGGTTCCCTGAGGTTGCAGAGCTTCTTGCTGTGTGCTGGTTTGAGATACGAGGCAAAATTAGTACCAAGATGCTTTCGCCCGGCACATGCTACGTGGCATACGTAGTTTTCACCCTCAAATCGAACGCTGATGGATTCAAAAACAACCCGACCGAGGCTTTTGTGGAGTTGACCGGTCATGCGAGTCAAAGGCACTGCGTGTTTATAGATTCGGACGAGATGGTGGAGATTGCATCTGCGGAGACTGCTGATGATACCAAGCACCCGAAACCGAGGGGTGATGGGTGGATGGAATTAGAGTGGGAGAGTATTTTGTCGAGGGAGGAGAAGATGCTGATCTAGAATTTGGCGTGATGAGGGTGAAGAACAGTAACTGGAAAAGAGGCTTCGTTATTCAGGGGATTGAGGTCAGGCCCAAAGCCGTGAGTAGTTAAAGTTCGGCAGGAATTTAGTTAAAGATGGTGAGCTTGGCTTATTTCTTATTGATAGTTATAATTTTCGAATCTTCTGTTGTTGTACCTTCGCTGCCTGTGTTGTCCAGTCTTTAACATTTCGTATGTTGATCCGTTTCGTGTGAAGGAGATTATTGATATTACTTGAACCTGGTGTGGGTAATACTGATGAATGTTGGAACCGAAGTTGGTAAATTCACCCTACTTTTATGCTGTTCTTGAGTCCACTTCATAATCTTCTGAGTTTCTACCTGGAAAATAGAATTGGGAATAGTGTAATGCAGTTGGAGTGCTCGCCAAAATACTTAATTGAGTCGGGATGCTTGGATGCAAATTTTTTTTTTTTTATTGGATTTTTTGGTTTAGTTCGATTAATTTTGAAAAAGATGGTATGGTTAGTTTTTAATGGATATATTAAATAATATTTAAAATAAATATTAAATTTGATTTGATGTAAAAGTATGGTTAATTTTTTAATGGATATATTAAATAATATTTAAAATAAATATTAAATTTAAAAAAGATGGTATGATTAGTTCTTAATGGATATATTAAATAATATTTAAAATAAATATTAAATTTGATTTGATGTAAAAGTATTGAAAGAAATGATTTGAAGTGATTGTTAGTTAGAATTATGCGAGTGGATGAATAGTAAATTAAAGTTGATATGATGTTGATGTGTAAGATTGATTGATTATATTATTTTATAATAATGATAATATTGATGAGAATGGAATTGAATTAAGTTGCATTAAAAAAAAAATAATTGAGTTAAAAACTAAAAATTTGTTACATCTTGACAGTTCAGTACACTGAAAATTTTACACACAATCTCGAAAAATGTCGACAGTTCAGTACACTCAAAAACTTGCACTCAAAACCTCTCAAAAAATTGGAATTCTACCGCAACTCATTGTTCACAAATTTTTATTGCCAATTCAGTACACTCACAAACTTAATGGCCAAGGAAAGCCAAACATGGAATAGTAGACTTGCACAAGTTGAAACCAAACTGGAAACATAAAGAACTGCCAATCATAAATTGAGATCAAACATGAAACAATAAGCTTTTTCCAGAATAAAATGATCCAAACACAGTACAAGCTGTGAAGCTCATACACATTATTTATTCACATATCACACAAAAGCATTACCCCCTTACAAACCCAAAATCCAGTACACCAAACACCAAAACACACTAAGAAGAGGAGCTAGAAACTATATACATGCTTATACAGAATCAGGCATTGACGATTGTGCCCCCATTCGGGTGGAGCACCTGTCCCGTTATGTAAGACGAGTCGACATTGGAGGCAAGAAAAACGTACGAGGGGGCCACCTCAATAGGCTGCCCTGCCCTCTTCATTGGGACTTGCTTACCAAAATTCGAGCTTTCATCCTCCGTGAATGAGGCCGGTATAAGTGGGGTCCATATGGGTCCAGGGGCAACCCCGTTGACTCTTATGCCACGGTCAACCAGCTGAAGGGAGAGGCCACGTGTGAAAGCTACAATTGCACCTTTTGTGGCCGTGTAGTCGAGCAGCTTCGCGTTTCCCTTGTACGCGTTGACTGAGGTCGTGTTGATTATCGACCCGCCTTCCTTCATGTGCTTCAGCGCGTGCCTGCACTCAAATTTGAATTTAAAAGACTTATTCCCGTTATGTTGATCAAGTTTTATTGGGTCTACTATATCAATATTTTTTAACAATTCAAGTATAAAGTTTTATTTAGGCAAGTATATATATCAATATATATTTCATTAGTATAACTATGCATGCACCTGGTGGTGAAGAAGTATGAGAAAATATTGGTCCGAAAAACCCTCTCGAGCCTAGGCTCGTCGATCTCCTCCACGGAGCCGGCCTCATACTGCTCGGCCGCATTATTGACGAGAATATCGATTTTGCCGCCAAAAGCGGCGGCCACCTCCTCCACGACCCGCCTGCAGTTTTCGTCAAAACCGAGATCAGCGGGCACGGCAAACGGGTCCTTAGCCCCTTCATGCTTAGCCTTCCTCAACATCTCTAATGTATCGTTTGCATCCTTGTCCTCGTGGCCCTTGACGTACGTGAATGCCACGCTGGCGCCTTCGAGGGCGAAGCAGTGGCACACGGCCCGCCCAATGCCCGAGTCGCCTCCGCTCACTAGGGCAAACTTCCCCTGCATAATCGAAAGAAATTATACGGCATGACCAAACAATTTTAACAGTGAGTCTTGTTTGTTGACAAAGACACAATAATATAGTAATCATTGATTGAAAGTGATGAGAGTTCAATTAATAGACCATAGATTTGAATTGAAAATTTGTATCCAGTGTAAAAAAAATATCCGGCAAGACAAAACCAAAAGATTTAACAAAATAATTTTGTTTCAAACCAATTTGAAGAAAAGGCGTACCACGAGCTTATTAGAGGCCTTGTACTCTTGCGCGGTGGCTCGAGGGGTTGGGTCCATTAGATGCTCCTTTCCGGGCTGGGTGTCCTGTTTCTGAGGGGGGAATTGTTGGGCCATTGTTCTTTTCACCAAATTGTTGGGCCTTTTGGAGCTACAAAAGGAAGTTACTATCAATTGATTGAAATGAGATTTGCTTGTTAATAAAGGGTTGTAATAAGGGAGATGAGAGCTAAGAGCTAAACATGTTCTTACAGACAAAACTAGTTTTGTGGAGATGAACATTGACTGTGCATGTAAAGAGGAGTTTTTGATGGATTTTATAGTTGGCTTGAACGTGGCATTGGAGGAACACGTGGCGAGAAATGAGGTAGTGTGTGTGCTACAAGTACGTACGCGGCGGACACGTCCGAGGAAAGCGACGTCATAGCTGCTTGCCACCGCAAATTTTCTTCGGATTGTTCTTTATCTACACCGCTAAACAAATATGGATATATTTTTGTTCAGAGTAAACAACCAGATGCATAGACTAAGGCCAAAGAATTTCGAGTTAAGATCTATGTTATAAAAGTAAATAAATATATATATTTTTTTTTGCTGACTAAATTGAAATTTAGTTACATTTATTGTTATATTTTGCATGCTTAAACATAAATAACTGAATATATAATAATTAAGGGCTATTCAATNAAATCCCACTCATTTTTAAAATTAATGTGGGGAAAAAATGGGTACATTTTTCATTATTTAAGTATAATAATGTTTACTATTTCTTCATATTAATTTATTATAAATTCATACTAAATAGTAAATAGTATAGAAGTTTATCAAAAATCCTATTTCTTCAAGCTATCCAACGTTATCTTTTATTTTTCACCTTATTAAGCATTTTTAAATGATTATCTAATAGTAATTGATTGAAATAACCGAACTTGTTAAAATTGCACAAACAATTTCTACAATAATAGCAATTTTAAATTTTTAAAACTAATTAATTGATAATTAACAGTCCATATTTGGCGACTCTTTCGTTTAATAGCTCCACATTCGTCGTTACATTAATGCTGAATCCACAATTGCATCTAACCTGAAATACACACAGCCCCCACCCCCACACACCATCATTGTACATTGAGAATTAAAAGTACTTAATTCAAACACAAACCATTACAACCATGCACAGCAGCCTAGCCAATAATATTCCCAAACATCAACAAACCACACAAAACAAAGCATAAGCCATAAACAAACACAACACAGTCACACACACATCATCATTTAAACAGAAAACCCAGCCAACACAACAAAGACAAGATTCCGCCACGTCAGCACCAAGCTGGCGGCCCCGCTGGCAAAGCTTCCCGCGGCCGCTGCAGTCGTGAGTACAATCACGGTCCAGTCATCCTCTGTCCCGACTCCAACCCCAGTGAACCTGGAGTCGTTGAGGGCCCTGGAGGCCCGTGGGGAGTGGGTGTAGTTGGTGAGGACAAGTGTGGCCACGCGGTGGGGCACGCAAACGGGCAGGACGGAGCCGCTACCTGTCGTGGTGGGGTCCACGTGGCACTTGCGCAGGGCGTCGGGGTAGCTGGCGAGTGACGACATGTTGTCGGGGGTGGGCCCCACGGGGCAACGCGTGTCCTCCAGATGGTCGGCTATCTCGTCGGCCACGCACTCCGCGCGGTCGTGCTTCGCGAGGGGCGCCAGGCTGGACGCCTGCCGGAAGCTGTTGATCCCCTGAAGCAGGTTGTCTTCTTCCTTGTCTGTGTTGTGTAATAAATTAATCAACGAAAGTTGGATCTTAGATTCTGAGTCATATGAAAGAATGCATCAAGTAATTTTAGCTCTAATGTTTTAACTTTTCGCCTTTTGGTCTTTTGTCCCGTGATTTAATATGTTTCTGCAATTTGAGGACTGAAAATAAAAATCTATAAATTTGGGAATTTGTTGCAAAAAATGACTGAAATTGCACCAACATCACATGACCAAAATGCGAAATGCTAGAATCTTGGGACTAAATTTGCTATGCTGGTTCACTAAAAATGCAATTTAGTCGTCTGCATACTATTACTAGGCAAACAGTTGTTTTAGAAACTATTTTCTGTGGCTCCAAGAATGATTTCTTGGATCCAAGAACTCATGAGCATGTTTCTTCGAACCGGGGGGATGGTTTATAAAGAAGAACAAAAAGGGCGAGAAAATCATGATCAAATGGGCAAGAATCGAGAGACCAAAATCGAAATCCTTTTCACTGTGTATTGGTACTCTTAGAGGTCAAATGGCCTAAACTAACGTGCATTCTTACTCTAAAGTCTAAACAGAGTATCAAGACCTCGGAAAACCAAAATCATAGGCAAAGAGACACAAGTACACGACCAAGAAATCGATTAACTGATTCTCCATGGCCGATATCAGTCAAGAAACAACGTCTATATAGGATTTCTCAAACGAAGGTTCCAAATATTCATAGGTGAGACTCTAAGACAAGGTTATGATAAAGCTGAGTGAGCCGAATTGAAGTAAAACTCAGAAAAGAAAAAGAAATTTCCTATTCCATTTAATTTATTGCAAATAACCCAGTGAGAAGTTCATTTTGAGTGCAGCCCTCACATATAAATTTCTCCATTTCCGAAATTTCGAATTTTAAATGACAAAATTACTTCTGTGCATGTGAAATAGAAACTACAAAAAGGAGCATGCTTGCAATCGGAGTCCCCCTTACTTTGCAAAATGCTGAATACTTGATATAATTTCGACCAAGAAAAGGACACAAGATCCATATACAAAGAACCGATTTTTATACATATCATCTCCCAATCATTCTAATCACAGATCAAAATTCTTCACAAAATTCCCAAATTTTGCATGGCAGCTAAGCTATTAACATATTAACAGGCAAATTTCTTCACAAAATTCTCGTGTTGAGTTGCAATATCCAGTACAGAGTATCCCACCTGTATATTTTAAAAAATAATTGATTCATTAAAATTTCCATAAAACACTCAACATGCAACTTCACACAGAGAGAGAGAGAGAGAGAGAGAGAGAGAGAGAGAGAACCAGAGAGAGCTGCAGGCACCGACAGCAGGAAGAAGACGGCATTCAGCAGCAGAAGGGTTGCAAGACGAGTCTTCAAAGATCCCATTTTTTCCTACTCAAATTTGAACAGATCAAAATATGTTTATATAAATGCTTGTGCACTATGTAGAATGTAGAAAGCAGAGAATAAGAAATAAAAAAAGATAATGGTGTTAGGTTTTGGTCTCAGTTAGTTGATTATAATCTGAGGGTCTGAAACTGAAAATGGGGAGTTTCAAACTTCGGGAAAATTGAGGATATGAAAGGTTTACACGTTGCGCCCATGCACGCTGTACAGCTCAAGGTTCCCACTTAAATGCCTCACACCTCAACGTACGTTTGCATTTTTGCTTATCACTCATTGGAACTATTTAGGATTTCACCCTTATGCCCTTGGTTCAGATTAAATGCAGTACTTGGTTTTATCGTTTTGGAGGCAATCTGATAAAAACAACATTTTATCATAAGGTTGGACTTATTCAGGGGTGGATGCGTTTTAGATTCAATAATTAAAAATTAATGTGTACTTTATAAGTGTGACGGTCCATCAATTAAAAATTTGGTGTCAATCCAATATTTAAAATATAATATTTTGTACCACTTTCATGTATATTTCATTTTTTTTAATAAATGACACATATACAAATGTTATAGTATTATTTATCGTNATCGATGCAAAATTATTAGATTTACATTATTATTCTTCCCAAATGCGTATATTAGAAGTACCTTAGAGCATCTCCATTGCTCAATGTTGTAGTGACAAATTATATTCAACATCAACACATTTATTAATATCACAACTTTTCATCCTCCAATGTACAATGTGATCACAAATATTGTGATGATATGAAAATAATTAATGTTTACAATGTAGAGAAGAATGTGGTTCATTCACATTCTCCTCCACATTATTCTCCTCCACATTCTAGTTAGCCAATGAAGAGAAGAGAGAGAATTACTATTACCATTTTTAAACTATTTAATTATTTGATTAATTTTATTAATTCATATTAAAATTTTAATATTTGGTAAGTATATTAAAAGTACCTTACCTTTTAGCTACGAGCATTTTCATTGAGAAATCAAAAGTTGCTGTTTTTATCCGGTGAAGGGTTTGTCCCAATCGTTGAAATTGAACTACACTTCGAAACATAGACCCCCTGCAGTTTCTTTTTCCAGAATTAATTGTCAAAATATTATACTTTTGATATATTTTTATTTTTAGTATTAACATGTACCATCATCGTGCACTGACCTCAAGAGATCCACAGACATTTCCCACTGGGCAGCAACTAATTACAACTTCCGATTTCCAAAGCGNAAGTAACAATATGATTTAACATCTTTAACTGCAGGTGTTAGTGACAAAATCTAAACCAGAAACACTTCAAATTTAACACATCAACTTGGATAAAAATTAAAAACAAATGACAAATTGCCAAAAGAAAAATCATAACAGTAATAATAATCTCACATCAGAATTTAGAAGCCCGTCTACCTACGATGTCGATGTGAATCTACGTGATCCCTGTGGATTCGTTTTTCCTTGTCAGCATGTCTCGTTCGCTCATATGATGAATAATCAGTGTCATCTGGCCACTTATCCTGCTTATTGGAATGTGAACGATTATTTTGCTGTTTGTGATGTTTGTAGTGCCGATCTGAACTCGATGACCTTTCCCGCCTAATATGGGAAGAGCCGCGGCGTTTTTTTTCTTCATGATGTCCAAAAAACTCATCCTCAATATCAGAATTATAGCTTCTTTTTCTTCTGGGTGGAGACGGGATCTATTTCAAGAAGACATTTTATGGATTGCATGACAAGTTGGGTTGTTAACACACCGAATGTTCGCGAACAAAAGCTCGTTAATGTTCGACAAAAGCTCATTGGTTTGTTAATCGAGCCGAGTTCGAACAGAAAATTAGGCTCGTTTAATAATCAAACGAACACGAGCTCGTTGGCGAACGTTCGATAATGTTCGCGAACATTAATTTAATAATATAATTTCTTTTATTTTATATATGTACATGATATTTTGAATAAAGAATCTAAAATATAAAAATATTTTTATTTTCGAGTTCGAATGAACAAATTTCGAGTTAATCAAACATATTTAAAAAGTTTGTGCCCTAAATTATTCGAACACGAACGAACTCGAACTTTGACGAACAATTAAGCGAACGAGCTCGAACACGATTTTTTGCTCAAAAATAAACGAACAAACACGAGCTCGAAACGCCGAAGCTCGGCTCGTTAGGTTCGATTACAACACTAATGACAAGCACACAAACAAATTCAAAAATTCAAAATTTGAAAAGGATATGTTTCATTGTTCAACTCTTATATTTTCTGAATATATATGTTACCTGAAAACGTGACATGTATCTTCCTTCGGGCGGAGGTGGAATGCCGAGCCTTTTCAAATCATCAAATGGAATCTGTCTCCTATTCTCAACAAAAGAGTTAACAGAAAGAAGCAATAATCTCATGAACACCAAGAATATTTGTATATTTATGTATTGATGATGATTTCTAAACCAAGTACTAAAATACTACGGTTATCTATGATCTCTGCCTCTCTGTGTGAGGAGAGAATATAAAATAGACTTACTCAAATATGAATGTGTCCACAATTATTCAATTTACACCATTCTCAAAAAAAAAAGCAGATAATATTATTTAGCATACAAGTAGAAGTTCACAGAGAGAGAGAGAGAGAGAGAGAAGAACATACAGTGGAGCTCTAAATGGTCTGTCTCGTCCTCCAAATCTTAGTTGTCCCGACTCTTTCTTTCCACCGAGACCGCCACCTGTCAAACACAATTATGCTATGCAACCCACAGCAAATAGACATTGTGAAGTAAAAAGGGTTGCTTACCAAGCCTTCTTGGAATCCAACCAGGCATCAACTGCTGCCGATTATAATCAACTATGATTTCCGAATCGTCAATATANTATATGAAGATACAATGTTCTTTGACTGCAAATTGAAATTCAGCAATTTTATGGGGTGGTGGCAAAGATTTTTTTTTTTTTTTATAAAAAAAAACATGGAAGTAAATATTGTAATATCTTCAATAATAAATTCTTTTAACTTATCATTGGTAAAGTCCTGAAATAGTGGTACTCTTAGATTAATTTCCAAGAGTACTTTATCATCTTTAGCAATCATGGGACTCCACCGAGTCCAGTTACTACTATCTTCCAGCGCAATCTTGTATATAGCATTCTCGACTAAAACACAGTTTGGGGCATATGAATATAAAAAAGAATGGTTAAATTACTTGATAGGCGATACAGAAGAACATGCAACAAGTTATGGGCTTCATATGAAATTGAATGACCATATGATATACCACCAACAGACTGCATCTACATGCTAAAATTAAGAGTTACGTAAAGATGATGAGTATCCTTTTCTTGGTCAACTACAGTGAAGGACATGCAACAAATTATGGACATCAAATGAAATTGAATGACCATATAACCCGATCATAGGTTGCATCAGACCAAACATACTTAACCTAAGAGTTGTATAATAATGTGCCATTAACAAAAGAAGACCTTCCATGGTATGGGTAGTACCAATCAATTCCAAATTAAACTTGTCAATAATAAAGCTCCAGGATCTTCCACACGGCCAGTGGTGATTTTAATTGACCGAAATTCCAACACAAAAATATAGGATATTGAAAAACCAAATTCCCCAATAAAAATTTTAGAAAGACCAATTTTAATAGGATCTTCTTTCCCAGGAAGTTTATGATCGCACAATAAAATCAAGGGAGCAAATCAAAGAAAAAAAGGTAAGACAACACAATAAAATTTATAAAGGGCAAAGTTCGGACACCTTGTATGCTCGACGCATCTCCTTCTCTGATTCAAACTCAACAAATGCATAACCACGTGAGGCGCCTGTCACTGCATAAAAATAATTATACTAAACCTGGATAGAGTGCCTTGTCATAAGAAAAGATATGATAGAGTGCCTTGTCGTAAGAACTGAAACACCCATTAAAATTGCATTGATACAACATAATGGAGGTTCTAAAATCGCACAACTGCCACTTAAAAAAGGTAGATATGTTGCTGTGTGTTATGAATTAAATTTCTATGCCCAACAAAACAATCAGTAATTCTCGTTTTCTTTTTTTGGCGAGAGCACTGATATAAAACCAGCTTCACCTATTGCACTCTGTACCCTATCCTTTTGATAATGCGCAAACTAGGATCTCCGGTGTTACACATGGCGGGCTATGAAAGGTGATTGTCTGAGCTTATAAGATCTAGAACACATGTATACAGCTTGTGAGTTTTCTTTTCAAAAGGTTTCAGTAAATTTCGATAAGCTCGTTTATTTTGACCATTTAATTTAAACATGTCATCACTGGTGTCTGAAAGATTTGTCATCTTAACAACTTATAAGCTCTTACATCACATTCCCTCGAAATCACTTCATGTGTTCTCTCTGCCTATTACTCTCAGCTGGCATCTAACAACCATGAACTTTGCAGGTCGTTAACCAAAATTAGAATGATCTCATGCAAAACAATTAAACCGACTACCCACCAGCAACTGAACTAACTACCAATATAAAGAATGTCACAGAGGAATTCAGAGCTATGGTGCAGATTGCAAAAGGCACAACTATACTAACCACTGCATTTACAATCTCTAGGTCTCGTCACAGCCTATTTTTACGAAATGGAAAGATAAACTTGACAATTATTTGAAATTCTACCTAACAACAAGCTTGTTCTTATTGAGACAACCAAAAGAAACCAGATATATTTTCTTAAACTTAAANTATACCTATGTGCCTGACCAGACGCAAGTTCTTCACCCTCCCATACTTGTCCATGGCCTAATAAACCACCAGAAAAATCAGAAATACCATAAAACACCACATTACTATCTCAAGTTCTAAACACACACACACACAGACAAAGGCAACTCGGACATATTACACGCACAAACAACAGCGTACGCATACATCGCGAAGAGTGTCCTCGGTGGTGAGATGAGAGAGGCGACCGACGAAGAGAGTGCAGTAAGGGTCCCCAATTACTTTCGGGTCGCCAAACGGGTCGTCTGCGAGAAATTGAAAGTTGGGGTTTTCAGTGAAAAGAGGCAATAAACCCTAATTCGCAACAAATTATGAAGGGATGAGAGGAGAAAGTAGGAGCAGCAGTTACATAGGGCAGCGTTGGAGCAGAGAAGGGCTCTGTAGACGGCGTTGTCGTGGGGAAGGATGTCGGTGCCGTCGATGCTGCCGGCTTGAATCGGGTGGTACTCCTCGGCGTAGAACACCGAATTTACGTTGGCGCGGCTCATTTTCAGGCAAAAAAAAGTGTGTCCTCTTGGACCTCTTCACATTCTACCGCCATAGACTGTCGCGATTTAGCTGAAAAATACTTCGTATGTTCATAGCAGAAAAGCCTAGCGAACAGTTGAAAAGTAGCTCATAAAATAATAATGTTAAAGTAGTCTCACGATTAGACGGATGAAAAGAAAAAATTATCCAATAATCTATCTATCATTATATAAAAAGAATAACCTTTTTACAAATTTAGAAACTTTTTCCCGCCAAAATCATTAAATATATCCTATATATAGTAATTGTTGGACAAATCTGAATAGGCAAAAAAATCCGTTCATTAATTGTGTAAAGATTTGTTTCTCTTTTCCCTGTTTCTTAGTTTATCGTTTTAACAATAAATATTTTTTTTACTTTTTCCTATTTTTAGTATAATTCTACACGAGCTTATCTCTTCTGTTACAAAATTTCATTGCATAGTGTTTAAAAAATCTCATCTCTTATCTATACAGATTTGAAAAAATAAAATAAAATAGAAATCAATTCATAATTATTACTAGAAATCCATTATCTTTAAAAAGAAAAAATAAAATAAAATAAAAACCAATTCATAATTACTACTATAAATCCATTATCTACTTTAAGAAACTAATTTTCATCGGTCTAATTACTAATGTTTTTACAAATATTCTAAGCTAACCATACAAAAAAGTATAATGATAATTTTGAAATGGTGTGTAATCAAATTTTTTTATATTCTCTTATACAAAATCATTTTACACTGTTTGATCCCGAATCTTTAATTTATAATTATTAAGTATTGTTTATCCTCCTCTTTTATTTATAATTATTTTTTTCTTCCTCTTTTTAAATACGATCAATAATAGTTTTCACTTCCGCCATTGACTCAAACTCGAGATCTATTTATAATATTGCTATTTTAATATTGTTCCCGTGCATCGCACGGGGTACACACTAGTTTTTTGTAAATCCCTAATCACTTTTACAACTTCCTTATCGGTTTCTAGTGTTTTTTTGTTCCTTCCCTAATACAATATTCTCTTTCCTATTCACTTCCCATATATATATTAATATTATTATTATTCATTTATTTGCTTAAAAATCATAAAAAAGAAAATCAGATCTCATCTCTCTTTTTCTCTGAATTCCATTGAGATCTCTCTCTCAATTCGCTTCTCGCAATTCATTTGAATTACATCGCTCTCAATTCACTTCTCTCAATTCCCTGGTGCCTATTGGTGTTAATATTAATTAAACTAAAATTAGGAAATCTGATTTGGAATTGGTTCTGTTCGATCTGCATACACATCTGGGATTTCGTTTTGTCCGTTCGAAAAAATTCTGGGAATTGAACCCCTTCTAGTCCGATCTTCCGTCCTACACCACGACGCCGCTGCCAGCGATTGTCGCTACAGAGGCTGGTGTTGTAAATATTTTTCCAGAGTAGAATCGAAAGATTCGGACACCGGGTCGTGTCTCACGAGGAAGGTTAGTCAGAATACTCTGCACGTTTATTCAAACACAAATAAAAGAAATAAAATTCCTAAACATTCTAATTCAAATTTTGATTTGATTTTTGATTATTAACTACTGAGATTTAAGCTAAGCAAATTACAACAGCAAATTAACACGTAGAACAATCAGGATTTAAGAAGCTAGGGAGTCGGGAATATCCGTTTTGGTTCGAAAGTGCAATTATCAAGCAAGAGATTGTTCGGTTTAGTGATTTGACTAACCGGTTCGTTCAAGTACCCATTCTCAATAACTTTTCGTAACAAAAGAACGAACTTAAACGACAAGTTAACAAGTCATTTAACACCTAGGCAAACAATTACGAAAAAGCCTAGTTTATACGAGCCTATTTCGACCGACTCCTCCCCTTTCGGTTCTAAGAGTCGATTAAAGAGGGCTAGAAGGTGTTTAATCCACTAGTCAGTTTAAATTAACCAACATCACACAAGAATATATCGAACTCAATTGAAAACAATTGGGGATTGAACTGTCACCCTTCAACAATTCTCAATATTCGAGCCCGACAATTGAAAAACCCTAGAAAAAGATCAAATCGTACAAATAGAACAATCACGAATATGATAATCGCAAACGAATTCAAAACATCAATCCCCTATCCCTAGCATAAAGATTTAGCCACTCATATTTGAATTATCAACGCAAACTACCATAATCAAAGTCAACATATCCATGGATTAGATGTATAGAAAAACTTACGGATAATGGTAATTGAATGATGAATCCGATAAACAAGATTAATCTGAAATCATTAGCAAAATCAGAGTTCAAATTCTTGTTCTACGATGAAAAATATGAAGAAAAGTGAAAAGAACGATAGAATGAAAGATGGGGTAGGGTTTTCTGTGTTCGTCGAATGAGAGATGTTCTGTTTAGTCGCAATCTCGATCATATATATATAACTAGGCTCGTCACGGCGTGGAGTAGAGTGGCACAGCGCGGAGGACTCCTCTGGTGCGGCGCGGCAGGGTGGACACGGTGCGACAAGGTAGGGCGCCGCGGCGCGGGACTTCATCACGGCGCGGGAGGAGAAAATCTGGGAACGAGCATCGCGACGCGGGGTTCCTTCACGACGCGTCAGGGCTGATCATCGCAGCGCGGAACTGACACGGCACGGGGCCTGGAACATTTGAAGTCGTAGCCCACCTCGTGGCACAGGTGCGGCGCGGCGCGGACGCTGGGACGGCAGGCACCTGGGCAACTCGTGGTCCATGTCGCACGACCTTACACTTTGGGCTCGTTTACGCTCGTTCGGACACGGAATTTGATTCTGTTTTTTCCTATGTATTCCCAACGAACTCCTCTACAAATTAAGCTCGCCCAAAATATTTTTCTCCTTCAATTTAAAATAAGCGAGGCTTTGGCCTGCACACCACAAACGAACACGAAAGCGGAGAAAACCGAGAAACGACCGAAAAATACAGAAAGACACCAAAGAGAGGAAAACACGCGATAATATACAAAACGAACTAAAAACGAATGGAAAGACCTAAAACGGGGGAAAAAGAAATAAAAAATAAGAAGGAAAAATGCAACCAAAATGGGACAAACAGCTGGCCGTTGAAAATCGCGACGCGGAGCGCCGCTGCTGCTGGACGGCCCCATCGCGCAGCCAACCGCCAGATGTTGCGTCTGTCGAAGGGCCTAGTTGCGTGCTCGTCGCTCCTCTATGGCCGCTCACTCTTGGACCAGAGCAACGCCGGAAATCCGAGCTCGGAGCTCGCAGGTCCGCCATTAATGGCGGACGAACATTAAAAAAAAATATGAGATTCCGGCGAGAAGCCGCCTACCTGGGGCGGCGATGGCTTGCCGGAGGTCGGACGCAGCGGCAAACGCGAAACGGCGACGGGCAAAGGTTGAACTGACGGGAGAAAAGGAAAAATAGGGCTTGGCCTGTTTTCGAAAATTTGATGAATAGTAGGGGCTAATTCACAATTTCTTAAACACTGGTTTATTCTAATTTGGCCACTGGGGTCAATTTGCGATTTTGAAAATTTTAAGTAATTACAATTTGGCTCTTGGGGCCTATTTATAATTTTCAAAACTGGCCTGGGGCCTTTGTGTAATTTCTGAATGCCTAGGGCTTGTTTGTTATTTTTGGAAAGTACTAATTTTATACAATATTAGCAGCAACCTTATGCAATATTAATACTCATTTTATAATAGTTAGTACCTACTCTATAGAAAGACAAATAAAATGATATGAAAGTTTTAAGGAAGTTGTAATATTTAAACCGTTAAAAAAAAATTAAAAAAAAATTGATACCAGTTTTTCTACACATTAATATCAATCTTATGCAATATTAGTACGCGTTTTATAGTAGTTAGTACCTACTCCGTAAAAATAAAAAAACTGATGTGAATGTTTTAAAGAAGTTATGTTTTTCAAACTGAAACAAGTTTTTCTTCACATTAGTACCAACCTTATGCAATATTTGTACTCCTTTTATAGTGATTAGTACCTACTTTGTAGAAAAAAAATGATGTGAAAGTTTTAAGTTATGTTTAGTAAAATGGTACCAGCTTTACTACAAATGTACAAATAGTTATTCTACGCAGTACCTGTTTTTAATTAATTATTACCTACATTGGTCAGCAAAAATGAATTAATCAATTTTGGTCAACATTTGTGAAATTAGTACCAACCCTAGAGTTAGATAGTATTCATTAAATGGTGTTTTAGTACCAGATATCGAATATTCAGTACCAACTCCGACAAACATTAAAAAAAAAACACCAAATGTCGGTCTTAAATGATGTTTATATGACTCGAAATCACTTGCCTGTTAGTTTCTATGAGATTTAAAATATTTTTAATTAAGTTTCATCACAAATTGGTTATAAACTCAATACACTAATGAGCAAACACTACTAATACACTTCATCTCATTTGAGTGATACACTTCATTTCATTGAATGTTCATGCATGACTATTATAAGTTCTACCTATATATTTTAAATTTCACTATTTTCAACCAAATCACGCGTGAGTGATCCACGGGGCCTGGTAGACATGACGGATCGATTAAATCACAATTAATAAATTGGTACCAGTTTTATAACAAATAATACCACTTTTTCATCTATGCAGTACCAGTTAATGATCAATTAGTACCTACTTTGTACAAAGAACAAAAAATTGATTACTTCAATTTTGGTCCAACATTTGCAAAATTAGTACCAGACCTAGAGGAAGATAGTACCGCAAATATGGTGTTTTAGTACAAGATATCAGGTCTTCAGTACCCACTCCGACGAACATAAAAAACACTGAATTTCGGTCTCAAATGATGTTTATATGACCCATTATCACTCTCACATTAGTTTTTATGAGATTTAAAATGTGTTTAATTAATTTTAATCGTAAAATGATCATGAACTCAACACACTAATGAGAAAACACTATTAATACACTTCATCTCATACAATCATCATACATGACTACTCCAAATTCTATCTATATGTTTTAACTTCCACTATTTCTTATCCAAATCATGTGTGAACGATCCACGTGTCATAGTAGACATGAAAGATTAGAGAAATCACGATTCTCAAAAAGTACCTGTATTAGCCTATATAGTACCGCTTCTTCAACGTGGTACCTGTTTTTGATCGATTAGTACCAACTTTTGGTCAAAGAAAATAGATTATTCAATTGTGGTCAACATTTGCAATAATTGGTACCAGACCTAGAGTAAGGTAGTACCATCTTTCGGTGTTTTAGTACCAAATATTGGGTCTATAGTATCACTTATAATGTACACATAAAAACACCGAATTTCAGTCTCAAATGATGTTTATATGACCAATAATCACTCTCACGTTATTTTCTATGAGATTTAAAATGTTTTAAATTGAGTTTAATCGTAAAATGGTCATGAACTCGACAAACTAATGAGAAATCACTACTAATACACTTTTTTCATTGAATGACACACTTCATCTCATAGAGTCATCATATATGACTACTCTAAATTCTATCTATATGTTTTAACTTTCACTATTTCTCAACCAAATCACGCATGAACGATCCACGTGGCATGGTGGACATGGAGGATTAAGGAAAATCACGATTACTAAAATGGTACCTGTTTTGACAGAAATAGTACCACTTCTTCTTCTGCGTAGTACCTGTTTTTAATCAATTGGTACCTACTTTTGGTCAGCGAAAATGGATTACTTCAATTTTGGTCAACATTTGCAAAAATTGGTACCTGACCTAGAGTAAGATAGTACCAGATTTTGGTGTTTTAGTACCAGATATCGGGTCTTTAGTACCAACTCCGAAGAACATAAAAAAACACAGAATTTTCGTCTCAAATGACGTTTATATGACCCATTATCACTCTCACATTAGTTTCTATGAGATTTAAAATGTGTTTCATTAAGTTTAATCGCAAATTAGTTATGAACTCAACGCACTAATGAAAAACACTACTGATACACTTCATCTCATTAAAAGACACACTTCATCTCATTGAATGATCATACATGACAACTCCAAATTCTACCTATATGTTTTAACTTCCACTATTTCTCAACCAAATCACGCGTGAACGATCCACGTGGCATGGTAGACACTAGACATGGAGGATTAAAGAATCACAATTACTAAAATGGTACCAGTTTTGACAGAAATAGTACCATTTCTTCTTCTACGTAGTACCAGTTGTTAATCAATTAGTATCTACTTTTGGTCAGCAAAAATGGATTACTTCAGTTTTGGTCAACATTTGCAAAAATTGGTGCCAGACCTAGAGTAAGATAGTACCAACTTTTGGTGTTTTAGTACCAGATATCGGGTCTTTAGTACCAACTCCAACGAACATAAAAAAACACTGAATTTCGGTCTCAAATGATGTTTATATGACCCATTATCACTCTCACATTAGTTTCTATGAGATTTAAAATGTGTTTAGTTAAGTTTAATCACAAATTGGTCACGAACTCAATACACTAATGAAAAAACACTACTTCATACACTTCAACTAATTAACTGGTATCAGTTTTGACGGATATAATACCGCTTTTTCTTCTACGAAGTACCTGTTATTGATCAATCAGTACCAGCTTTCTGAAATGAAAATGTAATACACCGATTAAAACTTCACACAACTATTACATATATTGCAGTATAAAATGTCAGTATATTGTACAAAAAATATTACTCATAAAGTGTCATTTACTACCCACTCTTTGGAATGAAAATGAGTACACAAGTATGAACGAGATTGTATTTTCGGATGGCAAACTGCTGATTCCCTTTGTATAACGATGCATATACTCTCCATTCACAATCCGCATCGCCAAAACAAACGATGACCTTCTGCTTGTCATTTTTTCGATACTTAAAAGACTGCTTGTTTTCAATCACATAGTTTTTGACACTCTTTCGAAATTCGTCGGCCCCACTGAATATCTGCCCCTCTCCTTTGATGCAAGATCTCCAAAAATCGATCGATTTATCTTGCAACAACTCATCTTCTCCCTCCGAGAAATCATTAGACTGTACGTTTTCTCTGCGTTCATGACAAAATAATACAAATATTTATAAATAATAGAACTAGTTAAAAATTTAATGAACTAGGATATGATACGACTATACCATATTTCAATAATAACTTCATTAATATTATGAAAGCTATATTACCTACTCATGTTCATCGGGATCGATTGAACTCCATCATCCGGTCTTTCATTTCTTTAAATGGCAATTATCTCTACAATTTTTATTTTCTAACAAACATGTAACCGAGTCATGTTCTTCACATCCTCATCATCTAACAAACTAACACTCTTTTTTTCCTTTGGCGCAATATATCATAGCACGACGAATTTGAAATTAACGTTCGGCCACCTCTTTGATATGAGAGTGTACACTTCGTAAAGCGTTGATCCATTGTGCATAGAGAACATAAACAATTCATTCTTGTACGTACAACTCCCTAGTATATCACTTTGTGCCCCTTCCATGTATCTAACAATAATTGGATAAATAAAAAAAAAATTCACATTTTCCAAGAAAATATGGTATAAAACAGTATTAAAGTGGTGCTATATATATACACAAACAGAGGTACAATAATCAATAATAGTTACAATGATCATTTCCACCTTATTTTCTTGTTTTAGGGTGAATAACACATTACATAACCTAACAATAGCATCAATTTCTTATACATAAACAAGAAATAAGAGATTTTGATCAATTTAATTGATTTAGGGTAAATATGAACAACAATTTTCAAATTCAATCCTTAACAAATTAACCAAATATATACGAATTAAACATGATTTTTGGACTCCAAAATGCTCATATAATACATATATTACATACTACTTCAAATTTTGGCCGGCAAAAGCACGAATGTTGCCGGAAAAAATAAATTTTTGGCCGCACAAATTTGACGTCGGAATCACTTGTTTGGCCGGATTTGTTGTTGCCGGAGTTCTTCTCGCCGGGTTTGGGTCGCCGAAGAGACCGACCTACAAAAAAAAAAAGTGAAGCAGTCGTCGGAAATGGAGGGAGACGGGAGAGAGACGGGAGGGAGATGGAGGGAGATGGTGTGTGGAAGAAGATTGATGTAATAAAATACTATTATGTGTAATGTTGGTGTAAGAGAAAACAACTAAAATAATATGTTAGTTGGTTGTAGTGGGATGATGTAATAAATTATTTTATTTTTGATTTAATTTTAACAGTAGGGAGTTAGGAGGAAGAAAATTAAGGGGGTAGGAAGTTAGGAGGAAGAAAAAAGGGAAATTTTCATGTATACTTACCGATTTTTAGATAATTGCAATATTACCATCCATACCAATTAAATTGTGTATATACCTAAAAGATAAATATTAATTATAATCATGCCTAAAATCAGTTACAAGGTAAATGGAACAACCTTCCATGTTCCTAGCGCGTAATTTCAGGAAATCGGGCAAAGCGTACGAAATTTCACGAAATCTTCATCGCCTATATATATTGTTTTAACATATACTGCAAATATACTGTACATATACCATAATACAGAAAAATCTGGTTCATGTATGGAATGATTATATCTCCAAAATAATATGAGCAATTCTGATCGACATGTGCATCCCATAATTGTATTTGGAGTGGGAAATCAGGTTTTCACGTAATAGAAGAACAAAAAAGAAAAAAATATAATAGATAGAGAAGTATATTTCTTGATCGGAATTATGTTTCCATGTTTATTTTTTTATTTTATATTTTTTGTTCTATCTTTGATCATTCATTAAATGAATTTTTTTAGTTTTAATTGGTATATGTATCGGTTTTTTTAATGGTATATATATAATTATTTTTAATCATTTTTAATGGTATATATATCGTTTTTTAAGGATATATATATCGTTTTTTTTTTTTAAACATTGCTTCTTTGAGAATATACCGAAAATATACTGAATATAAACCCTGACTTTAAATCTTTAACGGTAGAATATACCGAGAATATACTGATAATATACCGTCGAACGTCTTCCTGTTAATGTCATGAGAAAATATACCGAAAATATATTGATAATATACCGAAAATTTTTAACTATTACATACTATCGAACGTCTTCCTATTATCGGCCAGGATGCCGTGGTGGCCGCGGGGCTCGGGAGGACGCGATTCATATACTATACATATACTGTACATATACTCCAAACAAAATCATCCTCCAGAATTGTCAAAATCTATTAAAACTGAAACTACCTGAATTGGATCCGCTTTGCACCCCAAGATTGCAAGTGCTTTCTCCTCCGATCCCTCACAGATATCCTGAAATTTCCTCATGGTAATGACACAACAAGACGTCCAATGATTTTCGGACAATACATGGACCACTTCAAGGGATCTCTCATGTGCCCACGGAAGCCTCGGGCTTTTACTTGTAAAAACAAAAAATCCGCAAAAAGAAAACGAGAATGAGGGCAGGAATCATCAAGTAGCAAATCACCTGCAACAGCGGTGCAAGAATATAGTAATCTCCAGCGAGAGAAAGATTATCGTTGTTTTTCACGCCCAAAAACCCTAGGGCTCTGTCGAAAATGATGGAGAATCGGGAAGGTGAAGATGAATTAGGATGAGTGTGGGACAGCAATAAGACGAAGCCAGAGGGGGAGAGAGAGCGAGACGGAGAGGGAGAGATAGACATTATCTTCACCCGTACAATCAGCAACTTTCAATTAATTATCTCAATTAATTTAAACGGTTAAGTCTTAGATATATTTGCAATATTTTAGACTTATTTTAGTACAATTATAAATATTGATAGAGGGGGTGTATAATTATAATATAATTATAATCTTAAAGTAAGGGGTGCAAATTCCTCAAGAAAAAAAGGCCTACTTGGATAAGAAGTTGCCCAAAAATTATTTATATTATCAAATATCATATTTCTATTTATATTATTTTTTCAAAATAAATAGTTAGCACATTGGCATACAAATTCACGTTTATACTGTCAAATGTCATAATTTTTTTTATGTTATATTTCTTATGTTAAAGTATGTGTATTTATTGAAAATAATATTGACTTAATGATTAGTTTGACCGAACACAAGACCATCCGTTCTAGCTATTGTCTTATATTCCATTATATGTCTAACATAAGGCCGTCTCACCTAATATATATTAATTAGTATTCAATCATGTGTATATTCACATATGTAAATAAAATATTATAAAATTCATATATATAAATATTATATTTGAAATTAATGGGAATATCACATTTTATAGATGTTATCATTTGAGAAATCAATAATACAATTATAAAGTATTTTACTTATGTATAAATCATTATATAGATTACAAAATAAATAATTATTAAGTTGAATGTTATAAATTTAATGTATCATGATTAATAAATTAATTGAAAAAAAAAATATTATAAAAATTTTATTATGATAGCAATTGTTTTACGCAATTTTAAAAAAGTTTGATATGTCATTTAAATTATTAGCTATTTAAAAAAAATAAGTTGATGTGAAAAAAAAAAGATAATATAAATTTCAAAATTCATACTTTGGTATAAAAATTTATATAAGTGAGTAACTTAATAAACCTTTTTAGTGTAAAAATTATAATTAGTTGCTATATTAATTATTATTATATGATATAATAATTAAAAAAAATATTATTACATTTAATTAATGAAAAAATGTAATGGTATAAGAAAATGAGGGGAAAATTTTTAAAAAAAAAAAAGCGTTTGAAAGTTGAAACAAGTAACCCTTTTATTACTACAATATTTTAAAATTCGAAAATGATTCAATTTTTACATATAAAATGATGGGTAGACATGAAAGTTGAAACAAGTAACCATTTTATTAAGGTTAATTTGCTCTGTAAATGTGTAAATAGGTCGAGTTTAACTTGAGCCTTTTAACGAGACTGTTAACCAAATAACTAAATGAGTAAGTAATCGAGTTCGAACAATTCTTTTATCAATATTAACGAGTTGAACTATAGAAAACTATGTAAAAAAAATATTTTCAAGCTTTAACAAGTCAGGCCGAGTTCACTCGTTAACTTAATTAGCTTTCGACATGTCCTGATTTTTTTTTTTTCAAATGTCCCAAACGTACGAACAATCTATTTCGTTTAACAAATCTAAAAATCACAATAATAATAATAATGATAATAAAATAAAGTATGATAATAATGAATAGCCGTTTATATGCGTTACTTTCCGCCAATGGATTCGACCGTTAGAAGAGCACACGTCTCCACAGAGATTACTTTCCTTTTACTATCCGTTACTAAGTCAGTTGACCTTTTCTTCTTGCCCAAAAATCACTCTCAACTCTTATTACACACAAACAAATTTTTTTGTTCTTTTTTGTTGTTAAAAATGGTTGCAAGAACTCCACCAAAGCAGCCGAGGAAGAAAATGGCAGCCATTGCCCCGCACCTCAGCCCAACTCTTCTGAGAGAAACAGTTAGAAAGGTGAATTCATACTTCTTCTTCTTTTTTGGGTGATTTTTTCCTTTTGTTTTCGTTTAATTTGGGATTCTGTGATGATTATTGAAATAAAAAACGGTAATTGAAATAGCTGGTTCAATTGAGACCTGATGATGACGATTGATGACTCGTAATCTTACCATTTATCTTCTGTACAATTATGTTTTTTTAGCAGTTCTTTTCTAAATTATTAGATCTTGTGACATTTACATGAAAAAAAACGGATTTAATTGAGTGATTGCCATTGTAAAGATAATTAGTAGCCATTGTGAAGATAATTAGTATTTGATTGTTGTTTAAATATTCTTTTTTTTAATATGTTTTTATTTTATTTTTTCGGTTTTTGTGTGTGTTTGTGTAGGTGGATAAATGTATGTCTAGATTGCAGGAGCTTCAACACACGGTAACAGGTGGGTCGAAAGTGATTTCGAGCCCTTTGAGAAGTTCTTACAGGACGAATGTCCCTGCTTTCAAACAGGACTTATCGAGGTAGTACTTCAAATCATTTCAAATCCAAATATATATTTGGATCATATGAATGTTGGTTAGATTTAGCAAGTGGTGGTCGTGTAGGAATTTTTTGACTCATGATTTTATCTTGAAATGTTAGGAAAACGGGCTTTCGTTTCTTGTGGAAGACTCAAAATTCAAATTTATCTACCAAGCAAAAAGAGAGTATTTAAAAGAATAGTAATGTAATCAATAATAATGATCATAGTTTTAGTCATCAAGCAGAAGTGAAATTACAAGAGTAAAAATTTGAATCTGTCTAATTACTATTGTTTATTACTTTATGAATCGGTTTAGTTTAGTTGCTGAAAATTCAAATTTATCAACCAAGCAAAAAGGGAGTATTTAAAAGAATAGTCTATGTAACAAATATTAATGATCATAGTTTAGTCATCAAGCAGAAGTGAAATTACAAGAGTGAAAATTTGAATCTGTCTAATTACTATTGTTTATTACTTTTTGAATTGGTTTATTTTAGTTGCTGAAAATTCAAATTTATCAACCAAGCAAGCAAAAAGAGAGTATTTAAAAAGAATAGTAATGTAATGAATAATAATGATCATAGTTTAGTCATTAAGCAGAAGTGAAATTACAAGAGTGAAAATTTGAATCTGTCTAATTACTATTGTTTATTACTTTATGAAGGATAAGAAATGCTAATAATAATCCCCGACGATCCCCTCCCGGAAAGCTACCGCCGGTAAAAACAGGTTTATTCTCGTCCTTCCTTTTCCGATTACTCGAAATCTAAAGAAAAAGAATACTTTACACATATTTATGTTACTATTATATATTTATATTTTATTGATTGATGTGTATGCTCCAGAGGATTGGCGAAAAATGTCGTTGCCAGCAATGCTGTTAGGCGAGACAATGAGTGAACTCGTTCAAGCAACTCAGTTTGCAAGAAACATTGTTGTTCAGGCAGCAGCAACTCTTCCTAGTAAGATCCGAAAATCATCCGACGACCCGAAAACTCCTCCTCTGGAGAAAAAAAAGCCGATTCGCAACATGAATCTCGAGGACACGTGGCAGAAGATGCAAGCTCGGAGGAAAAGAGAGAAGAAGAAGCAAACTGTGGTATGGCCAGGGCCAGGTGGGACTTCCCCACGAGCAAAATCCAAAATAAACTTTAAAGAGTGTGACAAAGAAAATTGCAGGTATGTAATAGAAGCTAATCGGGTTTCTCCAAGAAACAGGCCGTGGGCCCGAAAGACTGTCCTTTTCCCGAACCCCATTTTCCATTCATCACTTTCGCCTACACGAGAAAAAGTTCCGGTGATTGCGAGAAGTATTCGGCAAACTCCACATAAGTTTCTGATCAAAAGCCCTCCTTTGAAATCGGCAAACAGGCTCATGATAATCTCGCCACTCAAGGGAAGAAAAAACGGGGAGAATATGATGATGATGAAAGAAATTGAGAAGAGTCGAGAGATTGCTCACAAGTTCTTGATGAAAGGGAAAACAAAAAACGAGTCGGCGGATGGTTTGGGCAAGAAACTGTCACCTCCGCCAGCTAAGCTGAGGAGATCATTTTCTCCGTCAAGGCTTGCAAAAAGGATAGTGTTGTCGCCTATGAAGTTCAGAAGCTCTATGCAAAAGAATGGAGGGTCTACAAATATTTGAAGTTAGAAGCTCTATGCTAAATGGAGGGTGTGAAAATATTTGAAGTTATTATTACTTGATGGTGATTTGTTTTTGTGTAAGGTTGTGGATATTTTTTCTTTATAGTTCACCACTGTGAATTCTGTTATTCATTTGATTGATGAATGTGTTCCATTCATATCCAATATATTCATGATTTCTATGAGTATTCCATTTTGAATTCTGATCTGGAAAGTTGTAGAGACTAATGGAGTGCAAGTGCTTTAAGGAATGGGGCCTTGGGGAAGTTTCAAAGCACAACTAACTGAAAACAGGCTGTGTGGTGTTTTTTGCTCTCTCGCAAACTGACATATCACAAAATGACATAGGAACCAAATTTATGCAAAGCACACAGCCAAAAAAGGCTTACCAGTATAATAAGCAAGCCAGCAAGAAGCCATGCAAAACACTCAAACAAAAGCACCTATAGAACTACAGTAATATAATGAGAAGAAATACACAAGGCATTTTGCAGGAGGGTGTTCTTGATTGTTCGGCCTAAGTGTCTTATGTCACCTATAGAAGAACTCAAAGTGTCTGGATAGTTTTAGTTACACTTAGTTGTTCGGCTAAGGCCAGTCAACAACTTGATTGTTCAAAAACTATAGGGGCTGTGATGACATAGGAACCAAAACACATGCTTACCGTATCTCAACACTATATTGCTGAAATAAATGACAAACTTCCCACAGGGTACTTAAGAAAACTCTCTAGAAGAGAGAGATCATCCATCAATCAGTATAAACAATCAATCCAGCAAGAAGCCATACACAAACACGCAAACAAAAACACCTATATGAAGAAAAAACTACAGTAATGTAATGAGAAAAATACACAAAGCCATTTTCGTAGAAGGATGCATTTTCTTCCTTCCACTAAGACATTAACGAACTCCTTCTATATTTCATGCTCTTCAACTTCAGAGGACTCCACACCAGATTTTTCTTCTGTAAGGCTATCACTGTCGGATGCCTCGGTTTCCACGAACCCGGCCCCTGTGAAGGAGGAGGGCTGCCTCTGAATTTACTACTACTGCTCGCCACACGGCCCATTGGTGTAGTCGGAGATGAAACTCTCGAAGTCCTCCAAACCCTTTGTGGGTCCCACACGAACGATTGCCGCCCCATTACACGATCCGCTTTTGACCTCTGAAGCGGAGTTGCTGCTGTTGGCATATGCAAGCTTGGTTCAGGCCGTAGAGTAGCTATGGAGGATCTTCGTTTGGGAGCTGGGATCTGACTTGGAGGAGGATGAGGTGGCCTAACGGCAATGGAGCCTCGTCTCGGTTTCAAAATTTGTCTCGACTTGTTTGCTCTCAACAGGTTGTTCTCTTTGTCCTCGTTCACGACTGGGAGAAAGGATGATGTGCGGGTTTTGTTTTTTGATGGAAGAGGAGAATGAGATGGGGGCATCATCATCATGTTCGAAATTCTTCTGAGGGGCAGCCTCAATTTCGGAGGAGCTAGTGGTGGTTTCTTATCAGTCGAGGCTGCCTTCTGTGGATGGTGGTTTGTTGCCGATTGAGTCGGTTGAGAAGAAAACGAGGCCAGAGCTCTTGTTTCTTGTTTCAACCTGGTTTTTCTTTCTTCGGCCAATTGGCTTTCGAGATCCCGGACCTGTTTAATAAAAGAGTATATCTCAAGTAATCTCAGATTGAGTGAGGGCTGCTAAATTAAATTAAATTTCTGTCTAGTTCAACCTCTCAGTATCTTGTTGTAATTAATGAAAATTAACATTTTGTACCTTCTCTTGAAGGTTTCTGCAGAGATGTTCTCTAGCAGCAAGCCTCAATTGCAGAGACTGCACATTGTCCTGCAATTTCTTTGTTTCCTTCTCATCTTGTTTTGCCTTTTCAACCTGTTAATGCAAGAAAAGGGAAAAGAGAGGCAAGATAATTATTTTCAGAGTTTAAAAATTCTGCATAATAAAGACTTCCTAGAGGATGGTTCATACGAGTTGCTTGTATTTGAAAAGTTCTGTATGATCCTGCTGTTTCCGGGCAGGTCCATGTTCAACTCCCCTGACACGACTTGCAAAATTTAAGGAGCAAAGAGTTTCTCCAAAGTCAGCAGAGTTCGGGCTGATTTGAACAAACATCAAGGTCTTACAATCTCCTCCTGCAATGGCGTGCATACACAGTTTCAATAGGTGTTACAGAAGGATAGTAGTAAATCCGGTGAGGAATTGAACACTATATCATTTGTTTAAGAGAAATTCCTATAGAACATTCGTTGCATTATTTGAGTGAGTAAGGTTATCTGCGTAACAATAATAATGAAAAACTTTTTTCTAAGCTTAAAAGTGCCAAGGACCTTATTAATCTAACCCTACGGGTAAGAAGTCCAACTAAAATAAGATCTGCATTCTACTTGATGTAAAACAATGGGTCGAGAGCGCATTAAGCATGGCATCTTAAAATATAATATATCAGCTCAGACCTACTTATCATTATTTACTCCAAAAAATAAACTCACCTAGAGAACTCTGCAGCATATGAGTAAGTTTAGAGTTCCTGCAGTCCACAAAACAATTTATTACTACTAAAACAGATTACAGAGTACTAAAAGCACAAACATGTAAGAGAGGTGAACAGGAAAATGCACCTGTAAGGAACATGTGCTGTTTTGGAGGCAAGAGCAGAGATAACATCCCCCAGTGCTGACAATGATTTGTTTATGAATTGTGATTCCTTGAGTCTATCGCCTTCAACTTCGATCCGACCAACACGCTCACTCCCTGCCAAGTCCACCAGCCACAAATGGCTCCTTGTCCTTTGCCCATTAATTAAATTTTCTGCCACAACAGTTACTCGCAACAAGCTGCAATAAATTCGATTCAATAAACCACCATGGCTATTTCAATAAATTTTGTTTCTGAATAAGCTAACAAAGTTGAAAAGAAAAATAATAATAATAAAAAAAAAAAAAAAAAAAAAAAAAAAAAATACTCANAAAAAAAAAAAAAAAAAGATGTGCATTGTGCATTGCTTATAATGTAGTTATATTTACCAGTGAGAACGGCTACTAAGCTCGTTAGCATTGGTCGATCCAACAGATCTTACTTGACTTCCTGATTTGAGCAGGCCCCAAACTTCATCTGTACCATATACTTGAGCTTCAACAAGTCCAGGGACTTCTTGAGTTCCCTCAGCTGATTGCTTTATATCCAACCTACATTTGCAGAGAAGAAGAAACCTTTTAAACAATGTATGATTTTAACTAAGTCAGAATTAAGCACTGCCTACCAGAGTTCAATGTTAAGTCATTTCCAGACTGGATTAGTAATTATGACCATATACCATCTACAGCCCAAGATTTAAATTTAAAAACTGAATTGATACTTTAATCTTTTTAGAGGAAAATCTATCAGACATGGTGAAAGCTTGTTTAGTCATTGCATACAATTCAATAAAAGAGATAAGCATGCTAACATACATAGAGAGGCATACAATTCAATAAGAAACGAAGGCTTACTTATTTGCAGGTTGGTTGGAGCTGTCAACCAGGAGATCTCTTATCTTTTCATTATAAACCTCTAACATGCTGACAAACAATTCATATCTGATAATACTGCTCCTCTCATTGGATATTCTGAATAGCTCTTCCAAAGTCCTATAGTTTACACCCCTATCTTCTGGTGTTCCTTCCATTGTGTACGTCTTTCCCGTACCAGTTTGTCCATAGGCAAATATGCACACATTGTAACCATCCAAAACAGAGGTCACTATGGGCAGAGTCTGAACAAAAACAGCCTCTGCATGTAAAAAGTGGGTCATGGGATCAACAAAAGAAACCATACAAGAACAGAACTAAACTATGCTGCAGAGATCTAAATAGTAGGGATTACTACTTCAGAGCCTCAGGCAGATGCAAATTAATTCCAGTTCTAAATAACATTACCTTGGTCGTCCTCAGGACGAAATACATGATCAAATTTGAATTGCTTTTTAGAAGAATCGGAGCAAATAATCTGCAGCTCATTCTCCTGAGATGATTCAAAATCAACCACCGAGGATGATCCTTTTGCAATCTCATCTTGTTTTAATGGCCTGCACCTACAGAAGACCCTGATATTTCCCTTGAGTTCTATCACTTCATTGTAAAGCTTCTTCCTTTCTGTGCATTCTTTGAGATATTTCCTTTTCAGAAACTCGCACTCGTCATGGTACTTACTTTTTAGAAGTTCAAATTCTTTGCCTGAAATATCGTGCACCAAAAGTAACATGTGAATCAAAATATCAAAAAAAAAAAGAAAAAAAAGAAGAACAAAAAAATAGAAAAATAAGTAAGCAAGTACAAATAGGATAAGCCAGATAACTAATTAAGAAGAGGTCATACTGAGATTCTGAAGAGCCGTAAAAGCTTCAGAGCCAACTAAAGAATCACTCATGTCCTTTACTTCATTGCACAGACGTTCATGTTCCTTCCTAATGATCTAAAAAGCAGAATAACTAATTAGTATCAAACGAAGAAAACACAAACTGGATGAAAATCTGGTCCACTGTCGGACTTTACCTGTACTTTACTGCTCAGATCCTTGATTTTCAAAAAAATGGGAAGAGTCTCGCCCTTAGAAGAACATGTTCCATGTGTATCATCAGAGGCACCACTAGTTTCCAACAAATCACAGCTTGATTCGAGTTCTTCTAAGCACAATCAACAAAACAAAAGAGAATGAGTTCTAAGACATCAAATATTTCCAGCACATCAATATAGGCAACCTAATTCTGGCCTGTAACATCTCAGTTTCGCACCAGAATTCTCAATTTTTACACGACACGTTAAGCAATACCATCACATTGAATTTCATGACTCAAGAATGCAAGATTTTGGCGAACAATATCTGGGCATCACTTCTAACATAAAAAGGAAATGAAAAATAAGAGGGGGAGGACAAGACACGTACCGGCATTCTCCTTTGGAGTCTCTAGGGTTCGATCTTCATCAATTTCTTCAAATAGAAAAAGAAATGCCATTAAAATCTACTCACAGCAAGCTAACAACAGATCTAAACATGTGTAAACAGCAACGGATCAAAACGAACCAGGATCAGGAGTACACAAATTGATCGCATGATCAAAGCTCGTACACAGGGTATCTAGGGTTTGATCTGCAAGAAACATCAACAAATTAACAGATTATCTAAAGAACAGCAAGATCTGTGTCACGTACCCGAGAGAGAGAGAGAGAGAGTACCATCCATGATGACAATTGAAACTGCTACTTTTCTGCTTGATTGTGTGAGA